CCGCAGGCTCCACCAACCGAGCCAGCGGGTGCCCCGAGACCTCATTGTAACCCAGCGTCTGCATCATGAATGGCCCCTTGCTGCCTCCCACGACGAGGCCCTTCATGCTGCAGATCCAAGTGGGCACCGGAGTTGCTGAGAACTTTGCCTCCAATTCTGAGACTTATATTTTCCAAGTTCCAGGAATACTGTGTCTTCTCGGGAGACACAGACATCCCTGGACCCCTGTCCCCAGCCCCTGGGAGCTGTGCCCGTCATAGTACTTGGTCCTTCACCTGGGAGGACACTGAGGTTCAAGACGTTAAGTCACTACCCTAGGCCCCCCCACCAGCCAGCCGGCCAGCGCTTAAAACCAAATCCCACTCAGCAGGTGCTCGAGTACCAGTCCCACCTGCCTCCCCCGGGAGCCCATACTTCCTGTGTGCTCAGGCCAAGCGGGTATTTCCTTAAACCAATCCTTCATAACCTGTTTTCTTCTCAAGGATTCTGTGTGTTCATGAGTCCAGAAAGCTGGGTTTATGGAACCCGATTAGGACCACAAAAAGTCCTGGATTTGGGTGGGGGGAGCTCAGCAAATTTCCTGGGTGGGTTTCTGTGACATTCATAGGCTGTCCACGTTAAGGAAAGGCCAAGTCTTCCAAATATCTTTTAAGGTCACCCGCAAACTGGCAAAGGGAAGGAGTGGGATGGAAATCCACCCTTCTCATGGCCCCCCGAGTCCTGACAGTCACTGACTCACAGGGCACACACAAACCTCTCCGAAGGTTTCCATGGAGGTGGAAAGGGAGCCACGGATCCTCCACGGCTACACCAAATGCCCAGCTTCCCTCCTGGCAGGTGGGTGCTAAGGAATGACATGTCCTTGTAAAGAAGGACCAAAACCGCTCAGGCGGACTGTAACCTGAGGTCGGGAAGTTCCTGACCTTCTGGATGCTCCTGCCTGACTCAGCCATATCCATAAAAGTGAATCCAGAGGAAAATCAGCAGGAAAAAACCCCTCTGGCCTCTCAAAGCTGCACTGAAGTCTCAGTGGCCTGGCCACTCTCACAGAGCAGTGGGTGCCTGGGGCGGCGGGGTTGGGGGGAAGTGACGGGGTCCGGGCATCAGGAAGAATTTGGGGCAAAGTCCTCTGGCGTGCAGCTCTCCCCCAGTGGGATCGACAGCCTAGCAGAGAGCGTGCTGAGGCCCTTGCGGCTGCCAAGCTGGCAAGGATGAGAGAGCACAGAGACGGGCAGCCCCGCGGCATGTCGCTGCACTGAGTCACTCCAAAGAGACAAAGCACAATGTGATTGTAGGCGGTTCGCATAGCTCCAGGAAACCAACCCTTCCAGTTTATAATGCTACGAATCTGAATTATTAAAGGCCAAGATGAAAAACAGCTACCCTGAAGTTAGGAAATTCAAACGGGTTGTTTGCTCAGATCACATCATACAAAAGAGGGTCTGTCCCGCGTGGGGCCAGCAGGTTGTGGCGCAGGAACTGGGATCCACAGGCAGCCCCGTGCCTCCGTGGCAATTGTCCTCGAACCTCAGGAAACTGGTCTGAACGGCACAGGCTGGTGCCCCATCCGAGGACCCACCGTAGGCTGCGCTGTGCGTGGGGAACACGAGCAACCACGCTGTGAAGTGTGGCTGTCCGCTATTAGATGTATCAACTCGGGCAGTGCGTCCAGGAAGGAGGCCAGTAAATCCCTTAAAAGTTCTTTCTTATTGTTCTTTTAATCTGATGCTGGATTCAATTTGCCATTGTTTTTGTTTGTTTTGTTTTGCTTTTTAGAGAAAGAGAAAGCATGAGCAGGGGAGGAGGAGCACAGAGAGAGAGAAAGAGAGAGAGAGAATCCCAAACAGACTCCACACTCAGCATGGAGCCTGACATGGGGCTCAGTCTCACAACCCTGAAATCATGACCTGAGCTGAAATCAAGAGTCCAGTGTTCACCCAACTGAGCCACCCAGGCGCCCCAGCAAGATTACGTTCTTAATAAAGATCATAACCTTCAATCACAACAATATTCTTCTGAGAAAATGCTAAATTCCCAAAGTCCTGTTCTATGATTTCTAGATACTTGCTTCTAGGGAATCAGGATCAGTATGCCCCGGGAATCATGTTGGAAGGCAGCCTCACCGCCCTATTCACTGGGACACCACCAGCTCCAGGAGGAGGGGCAGGAAGGTCCTCTCTCCACACAGAGCCCGTGGCCCGGTGTGAAGACCACAGAGCTGCAAGCTTCCTGCCCTCCTTCAATGGAGAGGAGGGGTTCCACATTTTGCGGCAATGCGTGGTTCCCTGGAATCCTCGGTTTCATTGATAGGATTCATTCACCTTTATAGGGTTTTCTCAATTTAGGTATTCTGGTATCAAAATCAGTAAACTGGCGTGTGGTTGTTTTGTCTGTTTAAATTAGAGATATTGCTGCCCAGTTTTGATATTAATACATTACTTAGATTCGTAGAAGCACATCTGGAAGCTTTCTCTCTCTCTGTGCTCTGCAACAGTCCAAGAACATTTTGAACGTATGCGTCTCTTGTAGTTTGGTACTATGTCACCTGTGGGACCATCGGAACCAAGGTGCCTTTGGAAGGGTGGTCTTCACACACTGCCTGAGGCTTCTGTCTGACTCGAGTTAGCTGGTGCATAAGGAGTATTGAGAGCTGTTCTTGCGTTCCAAATATTTTATAGTTCACTGAATTTCCTTAATTTTTGCTTTCTCATTTTTATTCTGTGCATTTATTGTACTTTCTTCCATCATATTTAGCTACATATTAGCTAATAATTTATTTAATTGTTAAAAGATTGATCTCAGGCTATTTCTTGCTGATTTAATTAAATTGCATTTTCATCTTTACAAATGCTTAGTTTGTGCATGCATGTGTATGCATGTGTGTATGTGTGCATATGTGTGCATTGTGTGTGAGTGTGTGCATGTGCGTGCATGTGAGTGCATGCATGTGTGTGCATGTGCATGCATGCGTGTGCGTATGCACATTTCCCCTGATGATTTCAGTTGAAGACTTATTTACTTTCATTTGCTGTGCTCCATAACAGAGACCCTACTTTCCTCTGAGCACCAAGTTAGCGGTATACATGGTACTTTGTTTTAACCCTAGAATCTAGAAATAATAGCACTAACCTTATGGTATGAATGAATACAAATGCACAGAATCATCTTACTTCTGAAATTTTGTATTGAACTTTTCCATTATTTTATGTTACAAAGACAGTAAGGGGCACCTGTCCTTTTTTTTTTCATAGATTTTCTTCTAAGTTCTCTACACAACTGGACATCGTATTTCCTATTCTGTAACAATTATGTTTTCCTATCATTTGCCCAATTTTCTAATGATGTGCACACTTAAATAGCTTTCTTACAATTTAAATAATTATTAGTAAATAACCTTTAAATAATTTTAATTACTTGGAAGTGACTTGATTTTCGGGGGATAGATAGGGAAGGTATCGGGATGTCAGTAAGACTCTCTAGTTCTTTACTCTAGTTACTTTATCAAGATTTGTCCTTTTTTAAATAGATTTGAATCCATTTCTTCCCTGGGATACAATTACTCTTTAAACGTATAGATCTGTATCTTTAATTCAGGAAAGTTTTCGTAAATTATATCTTCAAATATTTTTTTTTCTGTGCTTTCTTCTCTGGGGTGGGTGGAGGGAGACACTAATGACACATGTCTTTTCTCTGCCTTATGCATATTCTTCTTTGTCTGACTTCTATGTGTATGATTTTCCCTAAAGTCAATTTTAGGGTTTTTTTTTTTTATCTCATTTTGTTCTCAAACTTGCCATCTGGATCCTTCACTCTCTTTTCTGTGAATCTGTTACTTTTTTCTTTTGCTCAGCCCATGTTTCTGGCATCTGTTTCTTTTCTTTCCTCAACTCTGTCCATTCTCCTTTGTGCTTTTATTCCACTTTTTAGCTCTGTCATCTTGGCTCTGCTCTCTTATTTCAGAGAGGGAACGTTTCTGTACATTTAGTCTTGCGTGTGGAGAACACCTTGCCTACAATCTCACCTGTGTGTGGCAATCCTTTGCAGGCCTGCTCCTCATCTCCTTCCCTTATGGTCATCTTTAACGACTGCTTTCTTGGGCAGCATGTTGCATCGCCCTGTGGTGATTTGTGTTTGTTATGAGCGTTGACTTCTGCACAAAGGGTCCATCTCACTGTGGCCAGGGAGCATGCCCATGCCACTGGGCTGTGTGACGGTGGCTGGTCTGGGCTCCACGGTGTCTCTCTGGATCTCAGGGAGCCCCCCAAGAACACACGTCACAGTGGAGCCCAATGCTCCTCTGGCTTTTCACTGTGTATCTGCCGCAGTGTGTGCATCTCAGGGCTTCAGACCTGTGGGCCACCAACAGCCCCTTTGCTGGCTACACATCAACAGACAGTTTCTGCAACAGATGGCTTTCCTTCAGCCCCATGTCCCCAACACTCATGTTCCAGGGGATCCCTTTAACTCTGTTGTGTTGTATTATCTTTCCATCCAAACCAGGGGCCTTCCTTTGGTTGCCATCCCACCCCCCTCATGTACTGTTGAGATTGGAGAACTCTGTGTGCTCTGGGAAGTGGCAGGATCCTCTCCCCCTTTGGTCTAATTTTCTCTGTAGTGGCCGCCATTTGGGGGATTCTTGGTCCTGTTCTGGAGCATAGATATTTCCTGGTGTCTGGGAGGATGGAATTTCCATTTCTGGTTCTCCCTATCTCTGTTGCTCCCAGCTATAACCAGAGGTCAGGGAGCACAGAGATATTTCTGCCACCATCATAAGCTGGAAGTCACAGGACACATTTTCCATGATTAAGCAGTTCTTCAGTTCTGACCAGCGCACCTTCCCACCAGCTACCTACCCAGAGGCCCAGAGGGGATATTTATGCAAATGGACCTCATGATCTGGAGTGGCAACCAGTTCCTATCTCCCTTAGAACTTAAAAAACATCCTTACTCTAAAGTAGAGCGATAAAAATAATTTCTCATTTGCTTACCTCAGTGGCTTGTTAGGCAGAAACGCCCACCGAGGGACGGCCTTCTGCCCTGGCCTCTCCCGTATCACCAAATCGCAGCTCTGGACGAGGACGTCGTAGGCTGTCCGACAAACCATGAATTTTCCACAGAAGTTCATCTAGCAGATCGGAAACTTCATCCAGGTGGTAATTCTGGAGCAAAGAAAACCAGATTAGTGAATGCCCTCAAGAAATGAAACTTTTTCTTTTCCTCTCATTTTCTGAAGCATTTCATGGTACTGACTTTAGATGGTATTGTGCTTTGTGAGAAAACTCATTGGAGTCAGAGACCTCGGTGCTGGGCCTGAGTTCTTGACCTCAGTTCCCTGACTCCCTGGTTCACACACACATGTGCACACTCGTCCCTGAAGCCCTGGGTCACGTACATGTGTGCACACTCATCCCTGATGCTCTAGGACACATACACGTGTGCACACTTGTCCCTGACTCCCCGGCTCACACACATGTGCACACTCATCCCTGATGCCCCGGGTCACATGCAGGTAAGTGTTAGGGTTCAGAATGCCTATATGAGGACTATCACATGGGTTTAAAGGCAGTAAGGGATGGTAAAATACATAATAAAGAGTGAAGCCCTATAAAAATGCCCAAGATCACAACTGCACATGATTGGCTTTGGAACTATACTCAGAGATACGTAAGTATCAGTCGTGAAGGATAGCTGGGCATTCAGTGTGCCAAGGCCTGCTTTGTTTGCTTGCAGTCATGTCAGGGGGACCAGGCTGACCGACATCCCCCTGTTTGGGGAGAAGTTTGGCACTGGTGGCAGAAACCAAAAGCAAACGGCTGTTCTGTAGGGACAGAGTGGGGTATGTGTGTGTGTTGCGGGGAAGGGGGGAGGAATCATAAACTCAGTCTTTCTAACCTCACAGGGTCATCCAAGGAAATCATGAGTTAGGGGAAGAGAACCTGCTTGGTAATCTGCTAAGTGCTGGAAATGCCACGGCTCTGCAATGACAGGGGGCACAGAATCCCATCGTGCTTGAATAACCGGAAGTGAGGTTCTACGAGGAAAACATCCTCCGGGCGAGACATCGTGCTCGCTAATCCAACACCCACAGCTTACCTGCCTCTCAGCCATCTCTGCCTCTTCCCGCTGTGGCCTCTCCAGCCCCAGCCAGGCCCGGGCCGCCCACTGCACGCAGGCAGTCATGTCTGCCAGGCTCACGAGGGACTGGCTTTGAAAAGATTTCCTTTTTCGAGCAAGAGTCACGAGGGAATCTCTCAGCTGGGGAGAAGAAAGAAAAGACAAATTTCATGTTATCAACCAAAACATGGCTTCGTTAATGTGATAGACTATAAAATGGGGATTCTATCTGATGATGCTATTTTATGACCTTTTAGTAAGACAGCAACTGCTTAGCAAAAAAAAAAAAAAAAATCGGGTGCATGGAACTAAATTGCAACAAGGTGAATTCAACAATCAAAATGGGTATATAAATGGATATATACATAAAGGCTGTTTTCAGTCTCTAACAGTTGAGGATGAAGATTGTCAACAAGGTGTGCATTTCCACATGCAAACTTGGTTTCAGGGTGCTCTGCAGCCCCGCCAGCCTCTGGCGGGGCCCCACTGCGTGAGCCTGAGCCTGTGCCCAGGAGACAGGAAGACGAGCTCACATGCTCTCTGCAGAATGGCCCCAGCTTGTTTCCTTCTTTACTACAGGCTGAGACCTGCTTGCTCAGAAAGCCCGTAGGCACCAAACTCAAAGTTGTATGCATTCAACTGTTGTAAAAATAGTCCAAACAAGCAAAGTTTGAGCCATTTCAGAGCCTGCTTTGCATACCCTGCGAATATCACAGACAGCTGTTATCAGTTCCTGGACTCCAGCATGCCGCTGCCCTTGGGATCTCTGACTCAGACTTCCTACTTGCTGTTGGGTGACATCTACACACAGAAGACCCCTCTCCCACCCCTCCCCATGGCCCCCTGCCCTTCCCTGGTTCTTGATGGTGGCCCTGAGACACAGCCTCTGGACAGTCTTGGACTGTGACCCCTGTCAGGACGTGGCCACATACAGCTTGTGTGCATTACTGTCTCTCGTGGTCTTATCTTTTTCCTGGATCAGCCCTAAATCCCTTGAACGCCTGGCCACGTGTCAGAACCCTGCAGGGAGGCCTAGGTGCCTGAGGACAGGACACTGTCCATTCAGACAGCATATGTGGGTCTGCGGCTTCCCTGCTCTACCAGCCACATGACCCCCGGGTACCACTGCCTTCCTGTTCCTGATGATAAAGCCCAAGCACCTCATCATCTTAGTGTGACATTCAGGGCCCGCCATGCCTGGCTCCAAGCATCGTTCCCAAATCCAGCATGGGCCTCGCCACCATCTTCACTCTTATGATGCCTGCCTCTCCCCCAGGTGCTCTTCCCTTTGAGGAGATGCCTCAAATAATTAAATAAATACTTCTAAAGTAAAATAAAATAAAATTGCATATAATTTGCTAAAAACTACCGAACACTGAAGACAGACATGAAAGCTCTAAATGAATGGAGACACAGACAGGATTCTTCGGTTGATAAACTTCCTCTGATGAAGATGTCAGTTCTCTCCAAATTTGATTTACACATCCACAGCAATCTTGAGCAAAATCCCAGCATGCTGTTTCATAGATGCCGACAAGCTGATTCTATAATTCATATGGAAAGGCAAAAGAACTAGAGCAGCCCAAACTGCAAAAGAACGAATCTGGAAGGCTCACCTGCGCTCTGTGAAGACTTACTATAGAGTTCTAGTAATCATGACAGTGTGGGATTGGCGACAGAATAGATCAGTGGAATAGAATAGATAACCCAGAAACAGACTCACGGAAACCACGAACTGATTTGTGACAAAGATACACTGACAATAAAACATGCTTTTTTTTAAAAAAAAAAAAAGACTTATTTGAGAGAGAGAGAGAGAGACAGCACGTGCAAGAGGAGGGGCAGAGAGAGAGGTAGAGAGAGAATCTCAAGCAGACTCTGTGCTGAGCTCTGAGCCTGACACGAGGCTCAGTCTCAGGATCCTGAGATCACAACCTGAGCCGAACTCAAGAACTGGATGCTCAACCAACTGCACCACCCAGGTGCCCCTCAACATGCTTTTTAAAGATGGTGCTGGAACAACTGGATATCCCAAACAGGAAAGAACATTCACTCTGAGCTAAAACTTGTCCCTTACACTAACATTAAATCAAAATGGACTACTGACCTAAATCTAAAACATAAAACCATAAAAGTTCTAGAAGAAACATAGGAGAAAATGTGTGTGACCGTGGGGTTGCCATTCGTTTTCAGATAGGACACCAGTAGAATCTATAAAAGAAGAAATTGATAAATTGGCCTTTATAAATATTAACAACCTCTGCTAAAAAAACTGTTAGAGGAATGACAAGGACAAGCCACGGAATGGGAAAAATATTTGCAAACCACATATCCAATAAAAGAAATGTATCAAAAATACAAAAATTGCTATAACTCTTTGTTTATACATGTCTTTTTCTATGGACTGTGGACCATGTCCTCTTATGTTTGTTTCACCATTGCCTGAATAGAATAGGTATTCTTTAAGTAATTGCTGAATGAGTGCATGAATGAACAAATGAGTGGATGGATGGATGGATGGGTGGGTGGATGGATGAGTGGATGAGTGGATGGATGGATGGATGGATGGATGGATGGATGGATGGATGGATAGGTGGATGGATGGGTCGGTGGATGGATGGATGGATGGATGGATGGATGGATGGATGGATGGATAGGTGGATGGATGGGTCGGTGGATGGATGGATGGATGGATGGATGGATGGATGGATGGATAGGTGGATGGATGGATAGGTGAATGGATGGATGGATGGATGGATGGGTCGGTAGATGGATGGATGGATGGATGTTTGGATGGATGGATGGATAGGTGGATGGATGGATGGATAGGTGGATGGATGGGTCGGTAGATGGATGGATGGATGGATGGATGGATGGATGGATGGATGGATGGAAGAATGGGGGAGGGAAGGAGAGAGGGAGGGAGGGAGGGAGCGAGGGATGGAGAGATGGGTGGATAGATGGATGGGTGGGAAGATGGAAGACTAGATGGATGGATGAGCAGTGAGCAGGGAGCTAGGAACACTGGGAAAAACAAAGGGCTTAGGTCTGAGTACTGTCAAGGTCTGAGTTTACATTGGGATGTGTGTGTGTGTGAAATGACTATGTTTGCAAGTGGTATATCAGTAGGAAGGTGGTAAACAGGGAGCCCCACTCCTAACTCAGCCCCAAGGCCAGAGAACCTATCCAGTGAAGGCTGGCTGATGGAGTGAAATCTTTATAAGATGGGAAGTTTGAAATAACAACCAAGAGTTAGCAGTGACCATGAGAGGAGGTTGGGAAAGAGACGGGGTATGCCTCAGCACTTGGAGGGCCAGGGGCTCCCTGGAGGCGGCACCCTGGGATGCTGGTCTTGCTGGACCTGTTCAGGTTGCAGCAATGTCCAGCCCTGCCCAGTGCAGGGCAGGTGGGCCTCAGGAAGCCATGGCCATGCGGAAAGGTGCACACGGGCCATGGAGAATTTCGCCCCGAGAGCAGGTGAATCCCCGGCACACCCTGACTTCTGGGATGCGTGCACGTACCATTCCCCACCACGCAGTGCTCACTACCATGAAAAGGGCCCCGCAGCACCAAGCCGGGGCCCACAGGTCAGACCCAGAAGGACGGTGGGATGTGTCTGTTTGGCTTCTTCCCGGAAGACGGAACAGCGGGCCTCGGGAGAAGTCTGCGAAGGTGCCCAGCGGTACCGCGCGCAGGTGGCAGTGGGCGGCCAGTGTCAGGACGCCCACCAGCTGCAGGAAGAAAGACCTGTGACTCTGGGCCCTGCGCCTAGGAGCCCAAGACTGGCGTGCAGGCTGCCAAGTGCCTTAAAACAACAACAAGCGGTTTTTGGAGCGTTGATCGGGTCATCCCTCGTGGCCCGGCTCTGCCTCGTGCACACCCTCTGGGGCCCTGCTCCCCTCTCCTGCCCCTCCCCCTGCCCTTGTTCCTCCCTCCCTCCTCCTCCTCCCCCCTCCTCCCCTCCCTCCCCTCCCTATCGCTCCCCCCTTCCCTCCCTGCCCCAACCCTCCCCCAGACCCTCACCCACTCCCCTCCCGCCTTCATCTCAAACTGGGGGGCCATCTCTCCTGCTTGCTCTCTGCCCTCCGCCCTAGGTGCTGGCAGCCACGCTGTCCCAGGGCCTGGTTCTCTCACCCTCTTCATGTCCCCAGCACCCAGCAAGGGCTCAGTAAAATAAACCACTTCAGAAGCAAAGGCAGTTAAGTTTAGTTCAGGTGAAGTTTCATGGTCTGGTTGTTGTAACAGGCTGGGAACCTGGCCTGGGAGCCTGGGGTTGTACCCTGGGCCCAGGGTGTATGCGTGTGTATCTAACGCACCTGCATGACAAGCCAGGAGCCCGTTGTCCCAGGCCCCCACGGGGCCCCATTTCCCTCGCTCCTAGCCCCGGCCCTGCACCCGAGGCCTCCCTACAAATACTCTGGCACGCACTTCACCACTATTTACTAAGTGGGATCGCACTCCACCAGTGGTCTCCCATCTGGACCAAGCAAGTGTGGTCACCCTTCCCTGCACACCCCTAATTTCTGAACGGTTCAGATTCTGTTACTTAATTTGGACACTATTTATGACACTCTGTGTTTTCTTAACAAAAAAAGCATTCTTCACATTGCTATGTGGTATAACAATGACCAATTTAATACATAAGTTCCACACACATGTAATCTCTAAGCCCGTGGAGCTTCCGGAGCTGGAGCTCATGTAATGGTCCCACGGTTGTGACAGTGGGTTCGGGAGAGGTGCAGCCAGGCTTGAAGCCAGGTCTCCAACTCCTGGGTCAGCTTTTCCTGACCCGGTGTGCGCAGTCTGTCCCACTGAGCATAAGGCCAGCAGGGTTTGGAGATCTGTGCTTGGTTCCCTGTGAGCTGCCTGAGCCCGGGACCCTGATAGCCAGACCCCCTCATCAGACCAGCTAGTCTGCACCCTCCCCCTGCCCTGATGACAGTCCAACTGCGGGGGCAGGACAGGGGCCGCCGGGCTGGTGCAAGCTCTTCCCCCTGGGGGCCAGGTCAGAACCACCTGCACCCCAGAATCTGGCCAGCATCCCGTGTGGGGCTCTGGCCCTCCTGATTCTGGGTGTCAACAGCCTGCCAGACTGGGCCAGCCCTGGACTGAGACCTGACCCCCCAGGGTGGGAGCCAGGCTTCCCGAGAACCCTACACGTGTGCTTTCTTCTGTGGCCCACTGAGGCACGACTCCACGTGGGGGGTAAACAGCACTCAAGTGGGTTTCAGGTATTCATAGGGGGTTTTCGGGTGCAGGACCAGAGTTAGGAGCAAGGGAAGTGGGGGCTGTCACTGGCGTTAGCACCCCGCTCCTCTCTCCGAGGAAGAACTGCCCCCCTCCCCCCACCTGGCACCCGCCGTGCTTGGTTGTGATCATCAGGGCGGGGATTGCTAGAGAGCCAGGGGCTATTCCTGGTGTGCAGAACCTGCTCCGTGGGTGGTGAGAGCTCCTTGCATGAGTCGTAAGGATGAGTGCTCCGGGAAGGGGTGCAGCAGAGCACGTGTGGAGTGCGTCTGGGCTCCCGTGTTCACAAGCACACCTCACTCTAGAACCACCTGCACCCCTGATCTCAAACCACTCTGGGATGCTGGACACCTGGGCCTCACCTTGAGAGCTGGTGTCTCCGTGGAGAAAGAGCTCACTGCAGAGAACACAGACCGTGATGGTTGGTTGGGAGATAACTCTTACCCCTGCCGTGCAGACGCCAGCCAGAGAGCGACGCAGCAGGAAGGAGCAGGATGCCCTCGTGCTCAGGGTGCCAACGAGGCAGACGGACTTCAGCGTCAGGAGCAACGAGAGGGTCCCCTGGAGCCAGGTCACCCTCTGAGACGGAAGGACAGGGCAGGTCAGTGTGTCCCACCGGCTACGGACGGCGCACAGACGCAGTCACGCTAGACCACACTCACTGTCGCCCCACGGTGACCCCTCGACAGGACCGACCCTGCCCACACCGGCAAGAAGATCACATAGAGAGTGGGTACCGCCCCTTCCTGAGGCCCAGGCGCAGCCCTCCGTGACCCGGGGATAAGGCAGGCACAGAGACGGGCAATGCCGGCCACCGGGCCGTGGTTCCCTGGACCAGCAAGGGAAAGCCAGGCACTGCAGCCACAGTTACGGGGGGGTGGCGCCCATGGCCAAGCTGGAATCCACCTGCAGGAGGGCCGAGGAGCGCGGACACGCCGTGACAGGCAGACCCGGAGCCTGCCGTCCGTCCCAGAGAGCGGCCACCCGATGGCGGTGAAGCAGAGCGTCCATCTCCCTCCCTCCTGGAGCCTCCAGCCTTTTAACCAAGTCAGCACAACGCAGGTCATAGTGGAGGCTGGTAAGCGCCATGAGGATGGGATGACATTTAACAGAGACAGGAAGGCTGGGAGGGGGTGCACTGTGCCAGCACCTGTCCGTGAAGCTTGACCTCGGGGCCCCATTGTGCACGAACCCCCTCCAGCCTGGAGGCCAGTCAGCACCTGGCTCACAGAATAACTCATTCTTTTTTTTTTTTCTGAAGATTTATTTATTTATTTGATAAAGAGACAGACAGAAGGAGCACGAGCGGAGAGAGGGAGAAGCAGACTCCCCACTGAGCAGGGAGCCCGACGTGGGGCTCGATCCCAGGACCCTGGGACCATGACCTGAGCCGAAGGCAGATGCTTAATGACTGAGCCACCCAGGCGCTCCAGAATAACCCATTCTTCTCGGTTGTTCTAGGAGGGCCCAGCCCGGGGGGGTGAGGTCATCTGGAGCCGTGGCAGCCCTCACTGGGTGGAAAAGGGAGCTCCAGGAGTCCTGCGGCATGGGGGAGGTGAGCTCTGAGGCGGCAGGACAAGGAACAGACCATGGGGGCTCCGCCCACCTACATCCTCGTCCTCCGGCAGGACGCCTGCCTGGGCTCGCCTGCCCTGATGTGCACTGGTCCGGCTCTGCTCGGCTCACGGAGCCCCCATCCCCTCCTCTGATGGACCGACCCCCCATGAAGCCCCCCCTGTCCCCGTGGTGGGACCGGCTCACACCGCCCGCCTCTGGGATGGCCGCAGAAGGAAGAGGACGGACCCGACGTGCCTAAGTCTGCCGGTGCCTCCTTTTTGCCACCTCGACACCTGCTTCCTTCCCCCACTTAGGGTCACAGGGAGTCACTGGACCAACTCCGTGCTCTGAGTTGTGCTGCACACAGAACACAGGCACCCCAGCCCGCAACGTGGATTCCAGCCCTTCCCTGTCCCGCTCACCCTCATCCTCGAGCTCAGAGCATTTTTGCTCAATATGGAACAAATCCCTTGTCTGGAACCTTCTAGAACGTGTATGACCTCTTCCTTTGGACAGCGTCACAGGGCATGGACCCACCTGGACGCCCTGCTGTACCTGATTCCACAAGGCCGCCACAGTGAGATCCATAAATCCTCGGAAGTGTCCTCTGTGGAAGTGGTCGGTCACCTCCCCAGCAAGCGTGGCCAGGTGGCTGGAGGCTGCGTGGCAGGCGAGGCCGGCTCCCACTATGGCAAGCTGCAGCAGGGAAGAGAAAGGAGCCTCAGGGGGCGCTGGGGGAGGGGCCCACCGTGGCCCCCGAGCGGCTCAGGGTGCAATGTCAGTGCGAAAGCAGGAAGTGGACACTGATCTCATGCTATTTGTCGTGAACACGACGGGGGGAGACCTCACGACGGTTGGAATCAGCCAGGGCATAAGCAGTTTCCCACTAAAAATAGGTTCATTTCCAGGTAAGGACTTCACTGTTCCTGCTTTTCCCACGGAAAACGACAGGAGTGGCTACCTCTAGCCAGGTCCCTGGTTTGCGCCAGTAGCTGCGGAAACCCTTCTCGGCCAGGCTGCAGAGTTGCAAGCAGAGGTGAGTCAGGCTGAGCAGCAGGAAGGCCAGCTGGTGGAGGGAACACCAACAGAGCAGAGCACACAGAAAGACGGACAGGACATGTGGTTTCCCGAGCTCCGCACTAAGCCCATCTCTGGCTCTGCAGAGTGCTGATGGTAAGCCTGCTCTTTCCAGGCACCTCCGCCAGCAGAACCGCCTGCCCATCTCCGTGCCGGGGTGAGGGATGCGGGTGAGCTCTCCGCGGGCCCCGCGCATGAGCAGACCCTGAGTGTGACCTGGCAGGGTCCTCCCAGCCCGTCCTCACCCAGCTCCAGAGATGAGTTTTCTCATATTTGTGAAATATATATATATATATATATATATAATCAGCTCCTTGGCCACATACAGCCTTCGAAGCTCCTGTATCAGGGAATTTCTCGAAGCTCTGCTTATGCTTATCTCTGCGTGGATGAGTTGTGCATTCCTGCTCGCCTGCATTCATTCACTCAGAGAGCCAGCCGCAAGAGGAAGCTTAGTAAGGGTTGGAGCTAAACCTGTCCCAGTGTCTGGGCAGGTCAGCCCTGCTGAGCTCCCCTGGACCCTTCCGGTTAACACTTTGGAGCTAATAAAGCCTCTTTTGGGACACTGCTCTGTCCCTCTGGGGAGCAGTGCTGGTGCGGGCCAACGTTCATGTCAACCAAAGAAAGACTGATGGTACCAAGTGCCGGGCTCTGCGACCCTGTGGGTCCGGGTGGAGGTGGGGAGCAGGCCGCAGGAGCCGCAGGAGCCCCGGGATCTACGTGCAAGGCAGGGGCGGGAGGACCCACCTCGGGAAGCGTGGGGCTGGACCACAGGGCCGAGTCACTGCGGAAGACAGCCAGCGACTCCACCAGCGGGGAGAAGGCCAGGCCCCCCGCAGGGAGAAGCTCGGCGCGAAGGGACACACTGGACAGGAGTTGAGTGGGAGGGTTATAGAGAGCGAAGTGCACAGACACGGTTCTGGTGCTGCGGTCGATCCACCTGCTGGCCCGGAGGCTGCTGAGGGCTGCGTGGGCTGCCGGCCTGCAAAGTGGTGCACGTCGGGGCAAAGCCTGCATGGAGCCCTCTGGCCCCCAGCCTCGCGCCCCGGGGCCCCTGAGGCCACCCAGGTTCCTGGGGCTGGACAGACACACCTGTGCGTGTCCCCGCTCCTTGCCCGGGACCCTGAGGCAGGGACGTTCCAGGGGAGGGAGGCCCTCCCTCTCTCACGGGCACAACTCGGAGAGAGGTGACCACCTCTCTCTGCAAGGCCTCTAGAATTCTAGAGTCTTCTTCTACCTTTTCTGCTGTGGGCTTACTCTGGTGCTGGGAAGAAGCTCACTGTGACCTGTCTGCGTTTGGTAACAATGAAAGAATCTCCCTTCTGTGTTGTTGCATCACTCAGAGGCACCTATCACCTGGCACAGGGTCCCATGTCACCCTCAGACAGTCCACCCCCACGCAGGTCATGTGTTGCCATGGCTGCCAGAGGATCGGGCCACCAACCGTGGACCGTGGCTGCAACTCGGAGGCTCATCCGCACAACGCCGGGCCAAGGTGGGACTGCCTCCTTCGCAGAGCCACGTGAGGACCATGAGGCCCCGTGAGCATCCTACTCAGCACAGAGCCAGCAAAGACAAGTGTCCATTAGGCTCCCTGACGTCCAGACCTCTGGCAAATTCTAGAGGAACGTTCGGCTCGTTCCTTCTTATGCTCAGAGACTGAAGCCCTCCATTGGCATTGATCTTCTGACATGGCCTCCTGCCCCGGGCCTCACTCCTGTCATTCTGCAGTGCGAACACACCTGCCCTTGCCTTGGGATGGGCGTGCGGCGGCATACAGCTGCCGCGCAGAGCCATGGATGGGCAGGCCCGGGTGGAGCCGACCTCTGAATCCCACTGACCTTGTGCTGCCCAGGCTGAGCACCCAGGGCTCCCTGGCCCCACAGCCTCTGGGGCCACTCGGGGCCACTCTTTGGATGGCGGGATCTGCCACGGAGGGGGTGTCAGGGCCTCCGACTTTGGGGCCATGCAGAGGAGGAGAGTCTTCGGAAAGTGCTGAAGGTGGGCTGGGAAGCTGGAGGAGAAACCACCAGTCGGAGGGAGAATCAGACGCTTGCTTCAAAGTTAGCCTGTGGCCTGGGATGTCCAAGGCTGGCCGCACACGGCCCCTGCTCCCTCAAAGCCCCCTCATCGTCCCTGGGCTCCAGCTGAGCCCGAAGGATCAGGGCTCCACCACGCGGAGGCCGGCACCTGAGCTGTGCACCCGTCCGGGCTTGGACATCAGAAGGGCTCCGTCGCGGGAGGACGCGGGTGAGCTGCACGCCCTCGAGCAGCCCCTCCCAACCAGGAAAAGATACGAGACTCTTGGTTGGGAGTATTTTCAGTATTTTAGATAGAGATGTCCTGGTTTCCCACAGCGTGCCAGGACCGGCAGAGGGCATGGGAAAGGTTTGGCTGTCCTGGACCGCGGCCGCTGATGATTTCAAGTCGCAGCCAGGCTCCCAGAGAGGGTTCCTGCAGTCTGTGGCCTTCCTGCCCGATGTCTCCACGACTTTTCTAACTCTAACTGTATTTTACAGAGAACACACTGGCGGTTGCCAGAGGGCAGGTGGGCCGGGGGATGGGGAAACCAGGTGACGGGGATTCAGGAGTGCACCTGTCGTGATGAGCGGCAGGGGACGTACAGAATGGCTACATCAGTGTATCGTACACCTGAAACTCATAACATGGTATATTCACTCTACTTCAATAAAATAAATACATAAATAAAGAGCGATGCTTGGGAGAAGACGCACACACACAAAGAAATAACCAGGAGGAGAGCGGCTTACCTCGCACACGCCACCGGAAGGATCTCTCAGCTGCTGGATGACCGGAGTGCCCAGTAGGTAGCACTTCCCACCAAGGGCTCCAGGCTGGAGGAAGAAGGGAAACGCAAGACCGTTGGACAGACCGCAAAGCTGGAACATGCTGCGAGCCATATTCTTAGACGTCAGAGGGACGGAGCAGTGTCCCAAAAGAGCCTTTATTAGCTTCATATTCTATGAAATGCCATACACTGGTAATTTTTTTCTCAGAATTTGGGGAAGGGCTTTTGCCTCATTCTGGAAGCTTCCTGGATGCTCCCCCTGTCCCTCAGTGCCCTGTGTCCCCATGTCACAGCATTTTGCTCACTGATCTAGCCATCCCCATTGGCCCACAAGCTCACGTGGACCCGCCATGCCCTGCGCCCAGTCCAGCCTGGCACCTGCTGGTGTCTGGGGGTGCATGTGTGGCTAAGGCGGGTATGCTGAGATGGAGAAGCAATGGGATGTACCCACAGCAGAGAGCCACTGGCCTACAACCTAGAGGTCATCCAGAGTACACACAGTGGGGGCGCCTGAGTGGCATAGTCGGTCAAGCGTCCAACTCTTAGTTTCGGCTCAGGTTGTGCTCTCAAGGTCGCGAGATCGAGCCGCATGTTGTGCTCTGAGCCCAGCAGGGAGTCTGCTTCGGATTTTCTCTCCCTCCCCCTCTGTCCATCCCCTGTTTGTGCTCTCTCTAAAATAAATAAATAAATCTTTTAAAAAAGAGAGAGAGTGTGTGCAGTGCTGCAGGTCAAGCATCTTGGCACCCTTGCCCCACCTCGACGCACTCCCCTGCTATGTCTGAGGGGACAGCAGACGGAAGCCCACCTGAGTGCCTGGCGGGCCGGCCGTGGAGGCGCCTCCCCCATGCAGGCCGTCCAGCAGCGTGCTCAGACTCCAGCCCCACCAGTCACCCACACTTCTCAGGCCGCCAGAGACGCTCCTGGCACCCCTGAGCACAAGAGCAGAAACAAAAAGCGATTTTTCTCGGACACGAATTGGTGGTAACTGCAGGAATGAAAGCAAAGTCGTGCGCAGTCTCAGGTACAGCGTGACTCCGGAGCCCACTTTGTTCCTCAGCGGGAGGCGGCGAGAGGGCCCTGTGACAAAGCACCTGTCCCTCGGTCGCATGTTCCCCCGACAGCTTTCCTCGTGTGGGACATGGAGTGGCCAGGGCAGAGTGAGCACGGGGAGGGGAGCAGAAGTGCGGGAGCTGGGACCTGCAGGGAGAGGCACGGTCCTCTGTCGACACCGCTGCCTGCAGGCACGGCGTTACCCGTTCTTTCCCCAGCCAGAGACGCACAACAGCTGCGAGCCCGCCGCCCGCGATGGCGCGAGCCTTCAGCAAACTGGCGCAGACCCAGGGCAGGACTGCTCAGAGCTGCAGGTCAACAAACGTTGGTCTGGTTTCTCTCCAGTTAATTTGTATTACTCTTATCAGATATCTGCTTCACTTTCCAACAAGGGACTGATTTAAGGGAGTCCTGAAATCATTTCAGACGGACACGATTGATCATTTTCGCTTGCACAGACGACACGGTGGAGCCACACACACGGACCCGAGCTACGCACCAGAGCATCAGGAGATCCAAGCTGCTTAGCCAGACATAAAAGGAAAAGGTAAATTTCTTTAGAGAGCAAAATACTTCTCACCTACCCCTAAGACACTTCCTTCCATGTGGCCTCGCAGGAAGGACCCATGGGAAAGGCAAAGATGGTGTGTGGCTAACGTCCCCACGGCAGAGGCCAGTGGGCGTCTGGCGGCTCTTGCAGCCGGGTGTCCCTCCATGAGAAGGGGAGACCAGAACGCTTCTCGGGAGGTGATATTGTGGGAAAGCAATGAGAAGTTAGGAAAAGATCTAGACTCCGGTCATCCAAGCACACAATTTTCATTGTCCTGCCTCGTCCAGCCACCAAATCTAGACCCCCCCCCCGCCGCCACCGAATAACACAGCGATGATGAGCTCTTCAAACACCTTTCTGGTTTCATTAAACAGACGTGAGCACAAGGTCGGGCCATCACGTGGCCGGGGCCCAGCCCTGAGCAGCCCCTGAGAGTCGGCCGCCACCCGCCCTCCCCCGCCGCCCCGGCTCCGCACCCACGGCCATAGCGTGAAACAGACCGTGGTGGGAGCACTGACAGCACAGGAAGAGGCAGGCAGGTGCGACAGGTGGGTGCTGTTGCTCCCCAGAGCCCGTGTTACACTTAACCACCACACCTCGGAGAGGGATTGGGGCAGACACTACGTTGCTGATTGAGGCAGATTTTAGAGACACTTAGGAAGTGATTTAAAACCTGACAGTCATGACAGAAACTGGACAATATAAAAGGGAAAGAAATCAAAGAGGAAGAAGTGTCCTGTTAGTGACATGTTAGCGATAAGTCACTAGTGCATAGATTAATAGAGAAAAGCAAATGATCTCAATCAACATTCGCATGGGCTATAAATATGTTCAAACACATCCGTGGAGCGGGGATGTAAGTCTGGTGAGCTCACTTCTCTTACTGCTTCTGTCTCCTTCTCCTTACGGACTCACTCACACATGACTTCTGTCCTTCCTTGGCTTGTCCATTTTTAGAGCCTCATCCAAGCAGACCCTTCATACGGTGCTGGTTATACACTGCACACTGAGCGAAGCCCTGGTTGAACCACAGTTTGGAGGGAATAGTATCACTTTCTGATGGTCGCTCCGCAATGGGATGACGTTAAGGAAACAAAGTCTTCAAGAAAGACCTGGATGTGGGGGCTCCCGGGGGGCTCAGTCGGTTGAGCATCTGACTCTTGGTTTCGGCTCAGGTCATGATCTCAGGCTCCTGCGATCGAGCCCCACATAGGGCTCTGCACTCAGCACAGAGTTTGCTTGTCCCTCTCCCTCTGCTTCTCCCCTACCCCCCGAGCTCTCTCTAAAATAAATAGATAAATAAAATTTTTAAGAAAAAAAAAAAAGAAAGACCTGGATGTGACGAGAGATAGCTGTCACACGCCCAGACTGTGCACAGCTCACGCCTTGTTCTCGACACAGGCGGAGAGCAGGGAGTGAGCCAAACCATCCAAGAATGTTCTCACTCCATATTAATTAGAGCTATTAAATAAAACAGGCCTACAGAGCTTGCGAAACATGGCAAAACTAAAGTCAGTAGTTATATCCCATTTATGGCTCTTGGACAGAGTGACTATTTATTTCATTTATTGGTGCTTTATTCGGTGGTTTATTTCTGTTTTACTTGGACTTTCATGAAGACTTGATTGAGTCCAGAAAGACTTCAAAGAAAACTTGAATGTGACGGAATCCAATATCGTGATCATTTTTTTGGTGAAGACCTAAGAAATCAAGCAGCACAACTGCCTCACTTTGCAGATGGGGATACTCAGCCCAGAGTCGGAGGACTTGCCCAAGTCACCTGCTAACTGAACAAAGTGGAACAAAGCCAGGTCCCTGAATTAGACTTGATCCAACTGTGCTTTTGTTCTTCCTGGATGCTGGCAAACTCTAAACCCTAAGATGCTGCTGAAGTTTCAGGATCAGGCACCAGGGGATGGTGGGGGAGAGGGTCCAGCTTGAATATCCCAGTACAAACCCGGACACACAGATACCCCTGCCTGGTGGCCAGCACACCAGAGGTAATGGGATTTTGCATTTTGCATCGTAGTAGGAAATATGGGCCCATGCACACCCAGGGGGCCAGCCTCTGAGCCATGAATCCAAGCATATCAGTGGTTCTGCATGGGACACGTCACACAAATATTATTTCAGCTGCGGTATTTCTGATTTGAGTACCAAGAGGCAAGAATTCGTATGAGAAATATGTCAAGTAGTGCTGACTTACGAAATATGAGATCAAAACTAAACGATGAAAGCCAGAAATAGCTCAGGTTTTCCTTTCCATTTAGAGAGGACGGCCCACATGGTCACTCTGCTTTGCGCATGGTGCCCCCTGCTGGCCCAAACCGTGCCTATGTGGGGGTGGTTGGAGAGCTGACAAGTGGTCATTCATGGAAAGAACAGCCGTTTCTGCAAAGGGGGAGGCAGTTTCACTGCTAGAGTGTTCACCGGTGAGCAGTTGCATTACTGTGTTCTGCAGAGAGTCCAGACTCATGAACTCGGGCGTCTTTACTAGTGGCTCCTAACCCTACATTTGTTCGCCCGTCAACTGGGTGGGTATTAATCACCAGCTTTCTCACAGGAAGATAAAAAGAAATACACCCTTAACTAATAGATAAAATTAAATAGATTTGCCAGCCACCCACCTCTGCCCCCTCAAAAGCAACAAAAGTAAAGTACATCAGATTGAATTACTTAGTCAAGGGCAACATAGTCATAGAAAAAAATGCAGGAATGTATTTTAAAATATTCTCCAGAGATATGCCTGGGTGGCTCAATTGGTTAAGTGTCTGCCTTCGGCTCAGGTCATGATCTCGGGGTCCTGGGATCGAGTCCCACGTCGGGCTCCCTGCTCAGCGGGGAGTCTGCTTGTCCCTCTCCCTCTGCCCCTACCCCCTGCTCATGTTCTGTCTCTCAGAATAATAAATAAAATCCTAAAAAACAAAATAAAATATTCTCCATGGAAAGAGAAAGTAAATCTTAGAACACTGTCTTTTACTTCTGCCATAGTAAAGAATCAGTATGAGTTCATATCATGCACTTCAGAACTCAAAGCCAAACTTTTTTGAAACAACTATCAGACTGAATATTTTTGGCAGGTGAAAACAAAGTCACTTAATAACAACTGTCAAAAAAAAAAAAAGAATGCCACACAAAGAAAGTATCCACTTTGATATAGTTCCTGTTCCAATTTCAGAAATGCTGAAACATGGAGAAAATTCTAGCACGACAAAATGTGTCCGTGGTTGCCTCTGGGTGGTACTGTTATTGAGATTTTTCTGCTTTCTATTTTTCAGTTCTTCCATGCTTACCTACAATGAACATCTACTACTTTTATTTATTTACAGATTTTATTTATTTATTTGACAGAGAGAGACAAAGAGAGACAGCACAAGTAGGCAGAGGGAGAGGGAGAAGCAGACTCCCCGCCTAGCAGGGAGCCCAATGCGGTACTCGACCCAGGACCCTGAGATCATGACCTGAGCCGAAGGCAGACACTTCACCAACTGAGCCACCCAGGTGCCCCAACATCTATTGCTTTTAAAAGTAGGAAGAGACCGATTAGCACTTGAGAAGTGGTAGAGAGCTCAAGGGGAATTACCACCATTGGAAATCGTGTGCCATTTCTTGCAAATTGCAAGAGTCTTTGGTCGAGGAACTCAGATGGCCTCCACCAAAAAGCCACCCCAATAACCTGTTTTAGTGTCTTGGTGCCCAGACCTTAACGTGCCTCAAAATATCATTTCACTATTAATCAAAATGAGATGCTCTGAACGTGCCCAAAGTCTACAAAAAGAGGCCTCCTGTTAACAGTGGGGCAAACAATGTCCAAGTCAATTCGACCACTTTTTCCGTACTTCCTATGTGGGATGGTGGCGACCATCTAGTCCTCTCCCGCAGGACATTCTACTTCTGCAAAGTGGAGGCCCAGAGAAGGTGCTTTCCACCGTCCCGAAACCCTGGTCTCTGGGTACCCCCGTCAGCGTACGCTGGCCACGAACAGACCACTCCTAGTGCTGTGGCCGGGGGTCTAGAGAAGGTGGACAAAACATCTTACCTTGTAAACTCATTCCGGATGGCTTGATTGAGAGAATATTCATCCTGGGAGCATCTCCCACAAAGTATAAACACATGCAGAAGCAGCATGAGGGTGTATATGCAGATGTCTCTACAAGAAACACATTTTAAAATTAGCATCTACACCAACCCTGGATGTCTACACTGGACTTTTAAATCTCTGGGTGAATTTTTGTATAAGGTGTGAAGTGTGTGCTGAGGTTCATTTTTTTCTGCACATCTGACATCCAATTTTCCTAGCACCATTTTTAAAATCCATTCTCCAGTGAGAAGGGCCTTGCCCTATCAAAAAATCAACTAAGCACATTTGTGCCGACCTAACACCAATATTGGTGTCTTGGTTACCATGGCTTGGCTTTGTAGGGAGACTTAAAGTCGGGTAGAATCAGTCCTCTGGCTTTGTTGTTCTTTCCCAGAATTGTTTTTGTTATTCTAGTTCTTTTCCATATAAATTTTAGAATCAGCTTGCCAATATCTAGAGAAAAGCTTGTGGGACTTTGGCTGGGACTGAATGTATAGATCAAGTTAGAAGGAGTAGGCATCTTAACACAAGTGTCCCAACAGAAGTGACGTGTCTCTCCATTTCTTTAGATTTTCTCTTTTTTTGTTCATTAGTGTCTTGTGATTTTCGGCCTATCAGTTCTGCACGTTTTCTTAGATTTATTTGGAATATTCGAGATTTTCTGCATAGACTATGCATGTCTTCTTGCAAGAGGCTGTTGTATTTCTTCTTTTCAAACCTGTAAACGCTGTGTTTCTTGGTCTTGCCTCTGGCACTGGCTGGGCCTCCCCATGTGAGGTTTAACCAGAGTTGGGGGGAAAGGAGCTCCTCGCCTTGTTTCTGATTTTTAGAAAGCACACACTGTCTCACCGGCAAGTGTGAGGTTAGGTGTGGGGTTTTCACAGATACCCTTTATTAGTTTAGGGAAGTTCTCTTCTATTCCTAGCTCGCTGAGATTTTTTTTTCTTTTCCATGAATGGATGTCAGATTTTGTCAAATGGTTTCTTTTCCATCTGCTGAGATGATCATATGGTTGTTTTTTTTTTTAAAGATTTTGTTTATTTATTTGATAGAGACACAGCGAGAGAGGGAACACAAGCAGGGGAGTGGGAGAGGGAGAAGCAGGCTTCCCACGGAGTAGGGAGCCTGACGCGGGACTCGGTCCCAGGACCCCAGGACCATGACCTGAGCCGAAGGTAGACGCTCAAACAACTGAGCCACCCAGGCGCCCTTTTTTTTTTAAGTAGGCTCCACCACGTCCAGGGTGAAGCCCAACGCAGGGCTTGAACTCACAACCCTGAGATCAAGATTCAGATGCTCAACCGAGCCCCCCAGGTGCCCCAATGTTTAGGCTGTTTCTATTACAAGGGGTCCCGCATCGCCTGCCTTGCACCTGGGTCTTCTCGGTTTCTGCTGATGGGTTCCCTGCAGCAGGGGTGCTGGGAGGAGGTACGTGCATCTGTGACATGCAAGGGACTTCCCAGTCCCCACGGGTGGGACCAGCCTGCATTCACACCAGCACCACGTGATGTCACGTCTTCACAAGCTCACCAGCCACTGTGTGTGGTCTCACTTCCAGACTTTTGTACTTTAAATTTGTGATCTCTCATCGCAAGTGCAAGTGACATCTGCATTTCTTTTCTCTGTGAACTGTTGGCTTCCTGAGCCCAGCTTTGTTCTAAAGAGGTGGTTGGTCTTCTTCATTGTTCTGGAAACTCTTTGTATTTTAAGATTAAGCCTTTGTCTGCTACAGGTATTTTCCCTCATCTATCACTGCTTTTTTACATAACGTATGGCATCATTTGTCATATGAGATTTTTCTTCTTCAAGTTACATGTCACCAAATTTCTTTTCTCTTTTAGTTCCTGGATTTTAAGTCACAGGAGGTTTTCCCCGCCCACAGGTCATATATTGACACACATGTTCTTCTGGGACATGTATGGTTTTGTTTTCACATTTAAATCTTTCTTCATGTGGAATGAACTTGTGTACGTTGTGACAAAAGCATCTGGTCGTTCGTTTTTTTACACTACCCTCATGACCATTCAGTTATTCCTTATTAAAAATTCCATCTTTTCCCCAACGAGCTGAGATAACGCCTCCGTCATAGACTAATGCACCGTGGCATTTGTATTCGGATCTGGTTCTGGATTTCCAATCCCGGCCCACGAGGCTGTCTTCTGTTCGTTCACAGAGCCACACTCCTTAGTAGAGGCCTGTGCTCTGCGGGCACGTCCAGCACAGCGAGCCCCCCACTCACTCCGCTGCCTCGGGTCTTCCTGACCGGCTCTCCGCGGCTATTCTTCCGAAGGGACTTCGTAACTGACCAGATCCAGTAAAGAAGGGGAAGCGGAAGGAAGAAAAGAAAGGTCCAATGGCATTTGATCAGGACTGTGTTGAAGTCAGACACAATTTTAGACAGAGCTGGAGAACACGTGATGTTCGAGTGACATTTGTGCTTCTCAGGACCGCGCACGCTTCTCCTGTGGAAGTTTGGTGCATTTCCTCTCACGGTGATGCCCACGTGTGTTTGTGGTGTTTTATTCCTTGGCCGCGTTAAAGAGTCTCCTGGCAAATCCGCTACTGGCTTTCACTGTGCATATATGAAGGACGTCGGGCTTTGCATTTTAGTGTTTTAACCTGTTACTTTACTCAATTCCCTTCTGTCTGCTTTTCTCATTTTCACTTTTGTGGGATTTTCCAGACTTTTAGGCGCAGTATATGCAGAAGGAGCGGCTTCAGCCTCCCTCCAGACCTGCTGTCTCTGGACCCGCTGTCCCCTTGGTGTCCCCTCCCCTGAAGCTGGGCCCCCACCTGCACACCCCACTCCCAGGGGCCGTGGGAGCAGAGCAAGGCCCGGCCGGCTGCCACCCACCTCAGGGCCACCCTGGTGCGGGTCTCTCTTCTCATCCTCTCCCTGATGATGCTGAGCTGGGCTGCAGACGGCGGGCGTGCCCAGCGCAGGCGGCGCGCTTGCTGTCGGGCAGCCAACATCTGTGGGGACGGCAGTGCTGTGAGCTGGGGAGCTCTGGCGCTCCTGCCAGGCCCAGGGAGCAGCGGCGCTGTCCGTGCCTCCTGGGGCTGGGGACAGGGACACCTCGTACGGGTCACCGACAGCAGGCCGGTGGGCAGTGGGCCATTTACGAAGTCCGCTCCTGTCACTGTCACCGACGGGGTCCCGGGGGGGCCGACAGGTTACTTAGAGGAGGGGAGTCATTAGGAGCTCACTGGCCACCTTTGGAAGGATGGCAGTCAGGGGGGAGAAGGGAGGGGTGCGGTCTGACTGTCGGGACACTGGGATGCGTCCTTGGTCACGGCCTACCACTGCTCACTGCACCCGAGGACACAGCGCCCGCCACAGGTCACTGCACTGAGGTGGCCTTGAGCCTGTGCGTGTCCCCACCGGAGACCTTCCTCTTCCTTCCTGTTGCCCAGCCTACCCCACACATGATGGGGACCACTGACCATCAGAAGGAAGGCGGGAGAGGAGACGGAGTGAGGAAGCAGGGAAGAAGTGAAATTCTTGTGGGTCCACGGAAATGTAAATGACTTACAAGTTTTCTAAAACTGTGGCCAAGAATTCTAGTTCTCATTTTGCTTCAATAATTTAAAATAAGCTCATGTACTCGATGCTCTGATTTCTTTGGGATGGGGGTAGAGGGAAAGAAATGGATCCTGTGTGTTCACCCATCGTGTCGCGCACAAAAAGGAGCATAAGAAATGAAATCACACCCTAGAATGCAGTTGAATTTGAATCCACAGAGTAAGCGCAGATCGGCCTGATGGGGCTGGAGTGGGGCACGGAGGGCGGCCTCACCTCCTCCATCTGGCTCGCATGCTGGCGCGTGCGGGACCTCACTCGCTCCTCAAGCTCAGCGTCCAGGTCTTCGGTGGCTGCGCGCAGAGACTCGGTGAAGAAGTGCGGGTCGTCTCTCCTTCTCCAGGCAAAGCCCACGGCCACAAGGCCCACCTGGAAGGAGAGACCCGATGATGTGTGCCCGGTCACTGCCCCACATCCCTGCTTCCCGGTCACAATCCCACACAAGCTGGTGTCACCTGCCTGGGATTCCCGGGCCCCCCATTCCCCAGGCTCCGTGTCCTCGAGTGAAAAATGGGGTTCAAGAGGTCCCCCCCACCGTCCTGGGAGGTGTCCGTGGGCAGCCTGGCTCCCAGGTTCTCCTCACACTCAGTCAAAATATGAAGAAATGTAATAATGCGACAGGAACGCGGAGCCCCAGCCCCAGCCCCAGCCCCAGGCTGACGCAGAGTGACGCCCGCAGGAGGTCCCCCGCTCACCAGAAGCGGCTGCGAGATGAAAACACAGCACAGCACGGACAGCGTCAGCAGGTGCAGCCAGCGCACACACTGCGTCGGGCTGAACCTGTCCCCCCGAGAGAGGCCGTCAGCACCCGCCTGCACGCGCACAGGGACACCACACCCAAAGGCCCGCGTCCTCGTGACGGCAGGCGGGGAGGGGGCCGTGAGCCGGGCACCCCGTCGTTCTGCCCAGCGGAAGGAGTTCTGTCTGTCGCGAGGGGCGTCAACCCCGTGAAGCCGCTGAGCGTGAGAGAGAAAGGAAAAGCCAGCCCAGCGATGCAGAGAGCACGGAGCGGGTGGGGGGGCTTAATTACAATAACGACAACAAAGTTTGCATCTGCAGAGCACTGAGCACGTGCCAGACACCAGGCATGGACGATTTCGTTAGCTCCTCCTAAAACCCTGTGACTTTTCCCATTTCACAGCTGAGCAAACTGAGTTACGGAGAGGAGTTTGTTTCTTAAGCAACTTGACCGCCATCAGCCATCATCGTGTGAGTCATTTCGCGCATTTGAAGAGAGGGAGGAGTGGAGCAGGGGAGAGGGATGCGTCTTGGTTTTAGAGCTGCCCCTCCTGGACCCACGGGAGCCACGCTGAACTGCCCCGGGGACGCTGGGGGCCCGAGCTGCCCGGGAACGAGATGATGAGGCCACAGTGTGGACGGACAGAGTCCGAATCGTACCAGCACACCCGACCCCGAGCCCAGCTTCTTGGGAGCTCTGCAACCGGGTTCCCTCCTTCCTGAGGGAGGGTCTCATGGCCTCTCATGACACAGGGACTCCATCCAGGCCGAGCTGCTGTCCCAGAGCCGGCCAGGCCCAGCGGCCCTTTGGGGTTTGTACACGAATTCCTCACCCCCAGGGTGTGGGAGGGAGAAATGAGGACCAAAATAGCAATAGCCCATCTGGGCCCACCCAATGCATTCCCAGAAATGCAGGGAGTTTTTTTATTAAGTGCTAGACTCTCCCATCCAAAGACCCGGGGACATCTGAAACCGTGACCACTCACCTGTATCCTAGAAACGCTGTCCCTAAGCCACAGGCCACGGAGACCATCCCGCAAATGGCCCACACCACGCAGCCTGACCAAGGCAACAGAGCCCGCGGCCACCGAAGCTCAGCAGGTCCTCGAAATCCGCTGTTGGGGGCTAAAGGAGAGCAGGAAGAGGTATACGTAACAGGCCTCATCACTTCTGTCCACCCAAATGCGGTCGTTAATTCTACCAGTGGGACTGGGCCGTGGGTGTGCAGACATTTGGGTGACCAGTATTCTGGGCGTGTCCATGAGGGGGCTTCTAGAGAGATGGACACGTAAATGGCTGGACAGAGTAAAGCTGGTTGCCTGCCCAGTGGGTGGGCCTCATCCAATCAGGTGAAGGCTGGTATATAACAAAAAGCCAACCTTCCAGAGTAAGAAAGAATTCCTCCTGCCTGAGGGCCTTTGAGCAGGACACCTGCCTTTTCCTGTCTTTGGACTTGAACTGAAACACTGGAGCTCCTGGGTCTCCAGCTTTCATCAGACCAGCCGGCCTCTGAGCACACAAGCCAGTTCCTTGTATATATACATGCACCCCTGCACACACCCCGTGCAAGGTGTTAACAGATTTGCATTCTGTGCAGAGCAGCTGCGTCTACATGGCAGCTACACGGCTGCGTGTAGGTACCACCATCTTCAGCCTGGATGAAAAGGGGCCTCACTGTCTCACGTTCTCAGGGCAGAGTGCTTTTTACACTCAGCATTCTGCATCAAAATGATGCCGTGCCTGGGCCACAGTTTAGAGTTTTCACTGTGCATATAAAGGAGGGGGAGGGAGGAAGTGGAGGGGTGGGGAGGAGTGTGGGGGAAAGGGAAGGGGAGGAGCAGGGGGGGCCAGGAGAAGAGCAGAGAGGGGGAGGGAGGAGCCAGGGGAGGGCGAGAAGAGCCACACAGAGGAGGAGGAGCAGGTGGGCAGCAGCCCCCTCTCGCGGGCTCTGTTGGGTAAGTTCTCTGGAGTCGAGCACACAGTCGGAGGGTCCCCCTGCCACATCCCATGTCTCCAAGAGGAGGCCATGGAGCTCTGCTTTCTCAGGTGATTGCTCCGATAGGAAGACGCCCCAGGGCCCGTCTAGAGGCAGAAGGTGGTCAGCTGACTTGGACTCAGGAGCACCCGCCAGGGAGGAGGCAAGGGAAGGACACTTGCTACGTGTACAAGGAGGACACTGAACTCAGGTGCTGTCCTTTGTCGAGAACCTCCCCCGAGTCCCTTTGCTCTCCTCCGCTCCCTCCCGGCCAGGTGCGTGTGCCGGGCTGTTGGGTGCGGGTCTCCATTCCCCGGTCCCTCCAGCACCGGCATGGCAGGTTGCTGGCCCCAGGCCCCATCCGCACACAGAAACCAGGTATTTTATACCCCACACCCCAGCACGTAGCATGCTGTGTGCACCAGCCCAGCCAGACCTGGCCGCCTCCCACCACCGGTGCCGCCTCGCCAACCGCGGTCCGTGGAGCAGTGTCCACGGCCAGCGCCCGAACCTGGGTGACCTAGAGCCAAGAAGCACGCTGCTCATGCACCCTGCAGCCCCGGGCCCCACAGCCACGTGCACCCGTCCAGCCAGGCCCCGGACGGCCCCCTTGGGCAACACTGACCAGCTGCTTGGCTGCCCCCTGGGGGCCCCATCCCAGCTGGCTCTCCACTGAGCTACCGCCTCATCCGAGGCTGTCACTAGGCACTCAACTCCACAGCAAGTGAAGAGTGTATTCCTGACTTTAGAAGACGTGAGCAAATCCATATAAGTATACAGCAGAAATGGCCAGCACTTTGGAGCAAAACTCATGGCTGTTTCGGGTGGGCCTGGTGTCCATGTGACCAGAGCGTCCAGCCTCATTGGACCCAGCTCCCGCTGTGCAGCCCCTGTGTCTCCCAGGGGCCCAGGACACAGGAAGGGGCCCAGCATTGCACCCCCAGCCCTGACGTCACCTTGCACATGGACAGCGCCGCGGGTCCCCTTCTCCCTTGGAGCCTGCTGGCCGGAGTCAGCTCCACAGGTCTCCTGCTCTGGGGATAGACAGCCCGCACTCCGGCCACCCACTGCCCCCCTGCAGGCCCTGGTGCACCCCGAGAGACCGTGACACTGGAAGAGACAACATCCGGATGGGGTTAACACCTCAGCACCCACAGTTCTCTGTGCCGTATTGTGTCCTCCACAGCACAACTTGCAAGTTTTCTCAGGAGCTGAGCCAGCACCTCCGCAAGCCTCAGGCTGGGGGGAAGGTTCTGGAGAGGAGGCACGGGCAGCCCTGGGACCAGCTCGTTTGCATCCGCAGAGGGTGGTGGGGCGCCCGCGGGAATTGATGGGGCGGCTGCAGCCAACAGCGGTGCCACCTGCCCTCCGGAAGGCCGAGCAGGGGGCGGGCGAGGCTCACCGTGGAAGGGCAGAGAGGCAGCCCCACGCAGGGGAGCAGAGGGGACCGAGGCCTGGACACGCGCCTGGGGACAGTGTGCCCATGAAGGACAGGAGCTCTCAGCGGGGAGGCGGAGATTCAAAAGCACAAGGAACCATGCGTGCCCCAAACATCCGCACCGACCAGCAACCACACCCCTTCTCGTGTGGCCTCCACTTGGACTCCGGACAGTGGGCCTCGAACTCCCTGGGGAGCAGCCCCCCTCTCTCTGCAGGACCTGCCCTGCGTGGGGTCTCCCCCTGGGCCTGACCAGCCATGTCCAGGCCATGGCCGAGGGAGACACCAGAGAAACATAGTTGTATTTACCTCGTGCGTCTTCTGGGCGTCTGCCGTCCTTCCCCGGGAGTGAGGGCCTGATTTAAACGGAGTCCAGGTTATGACGTTAAAGGAGGGATCTAGGGTTCTTTGGGAGAGAGCATCCTTCAGGAAATAGCCCTCCCTGAGGCCCCACCAGGACGGGCCTCCCTGAGACCCAGGACGTGGCTGCTAGTGTGGCCCGTCCACGTGGCATCTGGGCGAGGGCTGCACGGCCCCTTTCACGCAGATGGAGTGAAGCTCTCTGTCCTGGCAGTGAACAGCAGTGAACAGCAGTGAACACGGGGAGGTCTCCTTCACAAGCTGGCCTCTTGAAGAGCACCAGCGGGGTCGGACTGGGGAGACCTCATCATTTGCTGTTGCTGTGATTGTAAACAAACAGAAAACACCTTCCAGGCTTTTCTTAAATGCACACTTACCCTGAGCTGCCTCCGAGGGCGCTCTTCTCAGGGGCCTGCTGGCTTCCTGCAGAAGGAAGGGGGTTGTTTGGGGCAGGCATCCCACCATGTGGGAGTTCCCGGGACAGCAGGGCACATGGACGGGCTGCCCGTACCTGGCTGAGCCTCAAGAGCAGCGACAAGAGCTGTGCCCCGGGAGAAGCCAGCAGGGTGCACAGGAGACCCGTCTGGAAGGACCCGGCGGCGGCATCGGGGGCACCGAGAGCCCACGGGAGCTGTAGGAAAGCAGTGGTCAGGGCACCCGGAATGCATCCACTGTAGCCACCAAGGTCTTTAATGTGAATGTGTACCCTGCGTTTAACGAAAGCCCTGTCTCCCTGAACCCTTGGAAACAATGGCAACTCACAAGGAATCCTTTTGTTTTTCCAATATACACATCTTTCCAGATTGAATGAACATTTTCTGCGTGCCCACTTCCTGCCAGGCATGCCTTGTGGGCCCCTGGCTGAGTCCTCGCTACAATCTGATGAGAAGGCGTCCGTAACCCCGACGCGTTGGTGAGCAAAGATCAAAGGGTCGACCCCAGGCGGAGGGCGAGTTCAGGTTCTCGGACCGCGGGCCGTTCCTGTCCCAGCTGCACCCAGCCTTTCAACTTCTTGCTGCCTGGTGCGATTTATCACCGTCCTACAAATTCCATGTACCTGTCACTCTGTTTTAAAGGTTCTGCCAATCCGTTACTATTCTCACCCATACTCTGAACACTGTGCTCTCTGCTGGACACCATTTCTGGAAAGAGCCCCTCACCACATTCCCAGCCACTGGGGGGACCATGAGTGGCCACGAGGTTGTCAACAGAAGCAAAATGGACTATTTCCCCACAGCCCAAAAGTCATGCTGTGCTTCCATAGGAAGGCAGGGTCCCCACTCTTGCTGCCTGTGCTGATTCATAAGTCACCTCCCTCCTGTGAGTGACGGTGAGGCTGGAGTTGCCAGTGGCATCTCTAGGGCAAATGTGACCATCAGAACTCTTCCCTGTCTTTTCTGGCCAGAGGATTTTTAAAATTTGAAATAACTGCCCACCTTAAAAAAAAAAAAATCCAGGAGTGTGCTCTGGGACAGTCCAGGCTGCTGACCCCTCCGGAGAAGTCACACTCTGTGGCACGAGGCGGGCGCGAGCTCCGCGTGGCAGGGGTCAGGGACGCAGGCCTGTGCTGGCTTCACCCTGAGCCCACCACCCAGCAGACCCCCTGGCTCCATGCAGCCCAACATCCCCTCTGCAGTGCTCGAGGCAGCCGGCTCCCTCCCCCTGCTTGGAACCTTTCTGCAAGGACTGCCGTTTTTGCTAATTCCTGGGCTGAGAACGTGTCACACGGCAGGTCTGGGAACTGGAAGCCACTTCCAGGAGAATCCAGTGCCCCCACCTGCTCTTGTCCTGCAACCGTGAGCAGGGCAGTGAGACAGGCATACGCGCACAGCAAGGTAAAGGCAATGGTGAGGCGTGCTGTGTGCGGGAAGCTGCTGGGGGAGGGCTGGCTGGACACGGAGGTCCAGACGTGGAAATCCTCCAGATACTCCGTGAACTTTGAATACAGGAGCTGAAACAGACCAGAAGAGAGATGCTGGCACCACGGTGAGAACTCCTGGTGGGCAAGCAGTGATTGTCTGGGTGATGCCGCTAGCTCCGCAGCCGGATGCTGGGTCCCCGCAGACCCTCACCCACCAGGCGCTCAGTGCCCTGGACCTGCGCTGGGGCATCCGCAGCTCTGGGACAAGCTGTCCCTCCACCGCTTCTGTCTCACCCTTGAAGGTCTTCACGCCCTTCTCTTTGGAGCCTGTCTACAAGCCCTCCCTGTTCCCAGCACGTTCCCTGCAACACAGGTCATTTTCACTGGGCTTTTTGCACACTGCAGCCCTGGAGCATGCCGGGCCACCTGGGTGTCCTCAGTAGCCCTGCAGCATCAGCCACATGGTGGGCGGCACGTTACCTACAGAACCGCACTGGGTTCAAAAGGCTCAGTTCAACTCAAGGAACACTCGGTGCTCAAGGCTATTCTAGAAAAACGGTGACGAGCAGCAGAACACAGAAGCAGAGCGAGGGAAAACCGTTTTAACGAGATGAGAATCATATCTTCATATCAATGGACCGGCCCACAGGTGGTCTTATGACTAATACACTACAGATTTCTCCCCACAAGTTCTCAAGCAAAACAGCCGGAGAATAAACAATGTGACTGTATTTTGAATAATTGTCTAAGGAAAGTGCCGGTTGAGCCAGGCATTCAACTCTGGGGAGCTGAAGAATTTCCATATTGCCAATGCACTGTGATCATTTTCTTACTCGATCGGCAGCGCCCATGACAGGCGGCGACAGGGACACGCTGGAAGGAAGGATCTGGTGACGCGGGAGGACCCCAGCCCTCACTGGCCTCTGCCCGTCTGAGACCAGCCTGGGAAACTGGTCCCCGGAAACACAAAGCCCCCATCAAAGTGTTTCTACAACTAAACTAAAGAGAATCACAACGTCCAACGTGGCCCTTCAGTGATGTTTCTAAAGAAAATTCATGAAGATAATACATTAGAAAGCACAAAATATGTAAGTGTCATCACAACTAGATCAAACACTCCCGTATGGGGAGAGATCGGAGCACGCGCAGAGCAAGTTTCATGGGTGGTTTGTGAGATTTTAGGTGATTTTGTCTTTTTTCTTGATCCCTTCCTGTTCTGCCCCCGATCACACCCATACTGTTGACTGGTCATCTTGGGGTTCAGGATACACAGGGCACTCCCGTCTTTAGTTAGCGGCCCTCTGGACTCCACAGACCACAGGCAACAGTAAATTCCGTGAATGTTATTACAGGAAAATCGTCATGGTAATAACGCCTGGCAAGGGTCCTCCTAAATTGGGAGATTTGGAATGAATTCATTCTCGCCCACAGGCTCGCTCGCTCATGGCATCATTTAGGATACGGCCACCTTGAGGTTAACTTTAGTGCAGTTAGTCAAACGGCTGCAGGGGGAAGCAGAGCTGGTGTTGCAGCCGGCCGGCTGGCTGATCACCTACCTTCCAGAAGCCAAGACCCCGGCGCAGGCAGCCCAGCTCCCGCTGCACGCGGCCGTCCCGCCTGCTCGCCGCCAACCAGCACTCGGCGGGGAAGAGCGAGCTCCGCCCCTGCCCGGGGGCCAGCACTCTCACCATGATGTGGCTCACATACCAGTCCGGGGAGGGCCCACGGCTGTCGTGCCAGAGACGGACACTCCGGAGCGGGCCCAGCAGGGCGGGGGCGCTGAGGACACACACAGCAGCCGTGGTCAGGCCGGGGTCTGTGCGGTGGGGGCCCCTGCAGGGCGGCCCCAGCCCCGATTCTCACCCTTGGGGGCACCTTGGACGTGTCAGCACATGCGCGCTATGCAGAGTGACCTACGGAGCCACTTTGGAGCATGGGGCGCGGACCCCACACCCAGCTCCCGCATGCCTGCAGGCTCCCCAGAACCCCGTGCACTCCAGCTCCATCACGCATCTGTGTCCGGCGTGGACAAGTCTGGAGCTCACCTCTTCTTAGTGAAGATGGGACCCAAACCGATACAGACCATGCACGAGGTTCACCAGGAGAAAAAGCATTTAGTGCAGTTTCTCCACATTTTCAGAAACCGGCAGGTGCTTGGACTCCCGATCAGTGATCCCTCCCCATCCAAGTGAATGGTCTTTGCATGGCCACGTGTCCTTGCTCTTCCCAATTTAGGAGGACCTGAATTAGCTGAGCGGGATCCGTGCCGTTTGAGTGTCGGCAGCGTGTGAACCAACACCCGTCCTCACTCCCACACGAATCTACGTCAAACAGCACCATGAACGACTTTATAAGACCGTCCGTGTGCAAGCTGACGCTCCTTACGGGACAGTGACATTGTGCATTTTGCTTCCTTGGGCTCATGATAGGGCCACACGGTTCGGACGGGCCTCGCTCACCTCAGGACGAAAGTATGTCTGGAATTCCTTTCAAACAGGGGCCTCTCTGGACAGTAGAGTTCTCTGGGTTCTGAAAACCCATTCTCACCACAGAGAACAATGTAAACCTCAAAACAAAGACACAAGGTGGAGGTGTGAGATCCTGGACACAGGACACTACGCTGAGCCAGAAAGGGGAGTCCTTGTACCGTCTCCCAGCCCCCAGCCCTCCCAGAACCTTCCGGCCCCGAGGGACCAAGGGGACACCCTGCTCCGTCCCTGGATGGCCCCTCCCACACTTCCCCAGGAGAGCCCCAGGAAGGAGCACCTGTCCTTCCAGGTTGGCCGGATTTCTACATGTTTGATCTAGAAAAGACAGACGGCAACTTGGATTCACTTGGGCACGTGCTTGTCTCGGGAGTAAGTGGACAGACAGTGGGCACGTCCTCCTTCCTCGGCTCAGAGGGGACACGGGGAGGCCTGAGGGCTGTCCAGGGGGCTGTGACCATGACTGGGGTGCACGAGGCACCCTGCAGACACACATTCTCAGCCGCGTGGGGCTCGCCACTCCCCGGTGGGGCGGCTTCAGTGGCCCAGAAACACAAGATCAATCGTTCATTTAAGGAAGTGCCTTATTTATTTCCAGTTTTTAAAATCCTTCCCTATCGCAAAGCACATATTTTCTTCGAGAGGTTTCTAAATTTTGTTTTAATCTGTAAGTCTCCAGTCTTGTGGAGCTGCTTTGGGGTGTAATGTGAAGTAGAGGTTTAATAGTGCTTTTTTCCACAGGGAAAGCCACGGTCCCCAAATGTCTTGCAGAATGGCCCCTGCTCCTCCCAAGGGGCTGCCCCCGTGATGCCCATCTGCCCCATGTATCCGTCGGTCCTTCTCCTCACGTGGGGCTGGACATGCGGGCTGCTCTCCACGGAGAAGGTGGAGAGAGACAAAGGTTCGAGTGGGAAGCCCTGAGGGTGGGGAGGGCTCGCACGGGTGTGCACGAGGTGGAGAGGAGCCCCCCACTCTGGATGGAGGAACATGGGGCAGTTGGTAAGGCCAGTCTCCACGTGGGGTGTGTCTAGGGCCGTCACTCCCACCATCCATAGCCTTGCACACCACAAAGTGCGAGTCCCAGGATGACCCGCTCACCTTGGCACTACAGCGGGCAGGAGACCGGAAGCCCGTGTCCACAACAACCGCATACAGCTGGTGGCCGGGGGGAGCACCTTCTTGCAGAAAAATGTAACCAGCTTTCTTCTTCTCGTGACGATCTACACGTCTGCTTTTAGTAACCAGAAGTGCATAAAGAATCGTAAAAACAACCACCAAAATACTGGGAAGCAGGTTCTCTGGTTGTCTGTAAATGAAAGGAGGGGAATAAATGGTAAATTATGAAAACAAACCGTCAGGCAAAGACTAACCAATGCCCCCCACACTGGCTCATGCTCACACACTCGCATGCACAGTCACACACACACAGAGGCCTCTGCTGGTCTTCACTGATATGTTTGTAAATGCTTGTCTGTCTTGTAACTGGGAGGAGAAAGTAGATTCTTACGGGGAAGGCCAAGAAGGGAAGGGTGGAGGGCATGGCGTGGCCTCTGTCGTCCCCATGTTAGGATGGGTCTGAGCCCCTCAGGGGAGGAACTGCTGGAGGCTGACTCAGGAGCAGGGACTCGGACAGAGACGCCTGGTGACAGACCAGCTTCTGCATCTGAAGCCCGTGTGGTGCTGCCACTCATGGCCTCTCTCTGAGGAGCTTTCTTGATGAAACGTGACAAGAACACCGATCTCGCTGCTCCCGATGAAGACTCAGGAGTACGATGTCTGTAAAGTGCTTCGATATGTGGGCATAATGGACGCTCCCTCCCTCCCGGCGACCGTGCCTAACTGCCCCATCCCTCCCGCCCTGTGTGCTTGGGCTGCCTGCTCCCCACTGCACCTGGCCCTCACTGCCTGGGGGTGGGGAGTCACCGAACACTCCAGACCCACAGAGTGGGGTCCACTTCCAGTCACTAGTGCCAGGACCCTAACCTAGAGTCTTATGGGATTCTGACGGGGTTTCAAAGGGCAGGCAGGTGCTTTGCAAGGATGCTGTCCTCCCAGAATGCACCTGCCCCTGCCTGACTCGAGGTGTTGCCTTTTATCTGGGTGTCCCGAGGGCTGTCCCTCTCCTGACGGCTTGTCCCCCCCACCCAAGTCATATCTAAAACCACAGTTGAACAGCTGTCCTGAGTCCCACTCACTGGATTCCTGGTGACCTCACTGTTGCCAGCACATGTGGTGTCAGTAATCCACTTACTGGTCTACAAAGCAATCAACTCTTTGATGATCGATTAAATAATAAGGTATGGGGTAGAGTTCCCCATTATATCAACGTAAGAGAGACCCCACGCACACCAGGAAATGCAGACCCTGCCACGGATATTCATTCAGCAAACACCCACTCAGTGCCTGCTGTGTCCAAGTCTGGTCAGTGCTCCATGTGGGTGACCGGGTGGAGGGCTCCTGCCCACACAAGCGCACCCTCTACTAACCCACAGTTCAGAATCCAAATACACCTGTTCCAGGTAAAACAGTGGCCACAGAAATAAGCTTGAGTTGAAATCTATTATCTAAAATGGGACACTTTGGGGGCGCCCAGCTGGCTCAGTTGGAAGAGAGTGTGACTCTTGATCTCGGGGTTGTGAGTTTGAGCCCCATGTTGGGTGCAGAGATGACTTAAATAAATAAACTTTAAAAATTATAATAATATGAAAAATGGGACACTTTTGAAGAGAAAGAGGGAGCTATGAATATGCATAAATCAGGATGGGCAAACCACTGTGTCCTCACTGACGAGAATGACCCAGTGAGTGCCGACGGACCAGGTTCATGGTGAGCCAAAGCTGAGCTTGATGGAAAGTATGTTGACTTTCTCGTGTTTTTGCATCTCCTGTCTGCGGATGTAGGTACAGACAGAAAAGATTCCAAAATGCAAAACAGTAACAGGTGACATGGGTTTCTGGCATCTGCAGGATGACACGTGGGCATCCCGCGTGATCCCACTGTGATCTACAAAGCGAAACTCACCTCTGCCACTTGGAAACGTCACTCACTGAAAAACTGGCATTCAGGTTTCTTCTTGCGACAGAGACCGGCACAAGGCGGTCGTAGCTAGGAGGGAGACGTGGGTTAGGACGCCAAACGTGTGCCGGGAGTCTACAGTGTCGCGTGCATGGGTTAAAGGAGGGGCAGAAAGGGGGACAGTTTCTAGTAAATATAACTTCGTGCAGACGGCTCAGTGTCCACACTGTGCGTGGTCCTGCTCAGCCCAGAGGCCGGCAGGCGTAAGCCCAGCCCCACTGTGAGTGGACGTGCGGCCACCAACCAGACACCCACTGCGTGGTTCAACAGACATCAGGGGGACACCTACTACAGCTGTCACCTCAGGGGTGAGCCCTGAAAAGCCAGCCCTTGCTCTCCTAGAGGCTGCAGCCCAGGGAGAGCCAGGCTGCAGATGCGGAGGGGCGCATGCACCAGGTACTGTTGCCGTTTTCACAGGGACCCACGGCCAGGGAGGCTCAGGCACCCAGCCCCGCGCAGAAGAAAATGCAGTCAGCCTCTAAAAGTCTCGAGTTTGTCTTCAACAGTACGTCTGTACCTGCAGGTCACTTTTTCTGGAGACGCTCCTGGCTGTGGAGAGAAGCTTGCAGATTTCCACTCTCTCGCTTCCCAGAAGAGGCACTGGACCCACTGGAAATGCACCGTGTAGTTCACTGCCTGTGCCAAGTATTTGTTCGGAGGGCTTCTGTCATAGTCAGCGTCTAGTAAGGATAAATATCCCACGCTGGTGTCTAAAAAGAGAAAAAATAAATACACTTGAAGTTTGCAGAAAGGCATAATGCATTCCCAGGTGGCCAGAGCAGTGGGCAGTGGGCCAGGGGAGAGGCCGTCTGGTGCTTCCTCTCCCAGGGCATGTAAACTGCGAGCCAAATGGGTCCAGGCAGGCTCCCCACTGCCAATTTTCATGGGGGCTGGCAGAGTGTTGGATACGTTTGCCTATATTCAGGGTCCCTCTGGACACCCGGAATGGGCCAGCCCGCTGCCCGGGAGACACAAGACCCAGGAGGCAGCTTCCCCAGCTCCATACAACCCCTTCCAGCTTCTCCTTGGCCCCATCAGCCAGCTGCCAGTCCTGGGTCTGCAGCGGTCCCCACAAGGACAATGCAGTGGCTGTGTGTTGTTAGCCTATCACTTGTGGGTAACTTTTTATGTTTAGAAGTAAAAATATTTAACATTCCATTTATTTAAAATTTCTAAGACTTTTTTTAAAGATTTATTTATTTATTTGAGAGAGAGGTGGGCGGGGGGGCGGGCAGAGGCAGAGGGAGAGAGAATCTCCAGCAGACTCCCCTCTGAGAGCAGAGCCCGAAGCGGGACTCGATCCCACGACCCTGAGATCATGACCTGAGACAAAATCAAGACTTAGGACACTCAACTGACCGAGCCACCCAGGCGCCCCTTTCCCCTAAGACTTTTTAATAAGTGATGTTGTGACAATTAGCTACTAACCACTTGTAAAAATAGGAAATCAGATCTGTATCTCATGCCACCTACAGTAATAAGCACCAATCAGAGATTTAAATGTAAACACACATGGAACCGTGCAGACACAAAAAGAAAACATAAATGTGAATGATTTTCTCTCATAACCTGGGCATAAGGAATGAATTTCTAACAAGGACTCACAATCTAAGAGTAATTTTTAAAAAGTTGATAAATATTATTTTTTACAAAAAGCTTTTGCAAAGCAAAAGCAAAAAACAAAGTCGGAAACTCTAGGAGTCAAGAAAAAATAAGCCCAAGAGAGAAATGGATGTATATGAACAGTTCACCAAAAAAAAAGTAGGTAATGACCTTTAAATGTATGAAAAAAATGCTCAAATCACAACATAAATTGCATATTAAAACTACCATTTCTCAAATATCCATCTGGCAAAATTCAAAATCTTGAAAACATTCTGTTGGCAAAGCTGTGGGGAAACAGGCCCTATGCTCACAGTGGGGGGGCACGGAGTTTGACAATATTTACGGAAACTGCACACACATTTACCGTTCGACCCTAGAATACTGCATCTAGACACTTCCTGTGCCCCTGAGTATCTACATTTTTAGTAAGGCTTAGACATTTGAGCAATAGAAATGTCTCACATATTTTTAAAAAATTAGATAAAAACAAATGGAGATCAGGGGCGCCCGGCTGGCTCAGTCAGTTGGGCACATGACTCTGGATCTCCAGGTTGTGAGTTCGAGCCCCATGTTGGGGGGTTAGAGACAACTTAAAAATAAAAAAATCTTAAAAACAAACAAACAGAAAAAGCAAATGGAGAACAGTAACCCTTCATATTAAACATATTTAGAAAAAACAGTAAACCCAACAGTCCATAAAACTGTCAGCAGAAGTCTACACCGAAAAGAACTAATTCAAGTAATTTTTGACCATGTACTCTTAGGACAATGTATTCTAAGAAAGGAAAGTAAAACCTGACAAAAAGAAACGGGTGGTTAAGTGGCTGCCTTTGGCTCAGGTCATGATCTCAGGGTCCTGGAATCGAGTCCTGCATTGGGCTCCCTGCTTCAGTGGGGACTCGGCTTGAAGATACTCTCTACCTCTGCCGTTCCCCCTGCTCATACTCACTCTCTCTCAAATAAATAAATAAATAAAATCTTTAAAAAAATAAATTGCCATTGAGAATCTGAATTTGATAACAGATTTGTCCATTTTAAAAAGAAACCAAGAGCTCAGAGTGACCGGTTCTCAGAGGAAAAGAGTCACATCCCATACAAATGTAGAGACAGGAGACAGGGGCATCAGTCAGAAGCCAATCCCCCTGCAAGGACCACAGCCTGCAGAATCAGCCCGACCCATGTGTTTATGCCATGTGGACCCCTGAAGCACGCTACCCATTTCTTGCCTTTGGGGGAGAACAGAGACCCCAGTGAGGGCTGGGAGGGGCCCGGGAGCTGCAGGGAGGCCCTCGAGTCAGGCCCCTGACGCCGGGTGGCAGAGTGGCAAACGAGAGAGGCAAACACAGATGCCAGAGGAGCAGCCAACAGGGAGATCTTGGGGGTCGGGGAAGGTCCACCAAATTGGCCAAAATGGAGTGTTGATGTGGTGCAGAGGTGACTGCGGTCAGGCTGCGCCGAGATGGGCCACCTGCTCTGACGTGGCTTCCTGTCTCCACTACGAGTGAAGAAAGACACCGCTATCCGTGCATCCCTTCTAACAGCTCTTGTCATCACATGAACGACTACAAATTATGGGCACCTGGGGGGTGCAGTTGGTTAAGCGTCCAACTCTTGCTTTCGACTCGGGTCGTGATCGGCTCAGGTCATGGGATCGAGCCCCACGTCCGACTCTTGGTTTTGGCTCAGGTCGTGGGATCGAGCCCCACGTCGGGCTCCGTGCTCGGTGCAGCATCTGCTTCAGATTCTTTCTCTCTCCCTCTGCCCCTCCCGGCTCAAACTTGATCTCTCTCTCTCTCAAATAAATAAATAAAATCTGTAACAAAATAAAAATAAACATACGGGACCTTGTCCACTGACCTCTCGGAGGACCAGCAGGTACATACACATGCATCGTCTGCTTATCCCAGATGTAGACATTCCTCACGAGAAAATCAGAAGGAGTAGGTTTCTCAGAGAACCTAGGATGGAAAAACAATGCAACAGTGTCTAGTTCTGTTTTGCTTTTTCCTCCCAAAGACTTTAGTCATAGGATTTTGAGCAAAACACCCTGTTGATGACAAGGACACAGGCCGGGACTCCACGGCACCACTGGGCTTTCGATAAGAGCCACACGACACTGTCCCTCCTCACTCATTACAGAAGAAAACCTTCAGTCCGAAACAGAAATGGCACAGCCTCTGGGAATAACACAGTACTGCTCTGCACACTCGGGAAGGCGGGCGCTGAGTCAGATGCACTTGCTGGTCCTAGTTACCTCCTCGCAGTAACTGCGAGCAGCCAGAACGGGAGGATGGGGGACAGTGAGCCCCACACAGTCATTGAGAACCTGGTCAGAACCAACTGACCTTTTATCTGCGTGACCTAAAGAATTAAGGGAAAACCCAAAGGAGAAAAGAGATTTGCTCCCAATAACGGTTTGGCTCATGTGGCAGAAGGGTGGAGCCAACGATACACAGGGAGACCATGGTGCACGCGGTGTAGACATCCCCCTGCAGAAGGCCACCTGGCTGAGGGCCCCACCCGAGCAAGGCAGTGGGACAGAGGGAGGACCCAGCCCACGGGGAGGAGAGATGATCTAACAGAACCCGGGCCCATCCAGACGGACCACGAAGTCCCAGAGCCGGTGGCTTCCGTTGACACTATCACTGCAGGATTCCAAAAAACCTTCCCAAGTGGCCATTTATTCAGTGCTCCCTTGTGATCTGTTCATGAAATGGGCCTACCCAAGCCTCACAAACTCAACATTGTTGAGAAACAGGGTTCATTTATCGAGTCTCCTCTGACACATCATCTGACACAATTTTTTCTTTAAAAAAAATAAAAAATAGAATTCGGACCCAGGTCTATACTGGGAGAGAGCACTGGATTCCGAATGAGGCCCCCTGTGTTGTCACCGACACTCAGGTGTTTCTTACTCCAATAAGCTCAGCGGGCAGGAATCCAGTCTCAGGGAAACAAAGCAGGAAGCTTACTCCCCAAGCAAGTGTCTATATCCCATATTTTCGTTAGACCACGAGCCTCAGCACGGCGTGGAAAGTGAATTTCACTCCCTGGTTTTCACGAGATGTTCACAATTATCATGAATCATGTTGTCATTCTGGTTGCCATCTGGCTCCCATGGTGGCGGTCCCCCCACAACACACCTTACCAGCACCATGACCGGGAAAGCTCTCAAAACAGGCCTAGAAAATTCTATCCTTATGTGCAGAGATTCCTGGGGGTTTGCAGAATGCCCGATGAACTGATGAATATTCACTCTATTCCGGAGCAGCACAAACGTCGTCTTATTTCTGTTTTCCTGTCCCCAAATGGAAAGCAAGTTCAGCAAAGGCAGGAAAAGCCAGCCAGCGCGGTCTGCATGAACTCAGGGCAGCTTGGAAAGACCCCTCACCAGGCCATCCTCTGCCCTGAACTGCACCGTCATGGGCTCCCTCAGCCGCCACCTGCTGATGGGTCTCCTGCTGGAGCAGCTGAACAGGGACGGGGCGACCACCTGGCCAATCTGCGGAGACAAGAGTGCCTAGGAGCGGGGGCCCAGCGGTCACACCCCTCCTGTGGGCCATGCTGGGCACCTGATGGTAGGGGGCAGCGCAGAAAAACATGGCTCCTTTGGCTGGTTAGAATGGCAGGATTGGGGACGCCATGCTGCCCTTGGATAATCACTCTCACTACCTTGATAATTTTTAGTCTCTAAAGCAGTTTTGTTATTTTGTTTTTTAACTGAGGGGGGAGGGGCAGAAGGAGAGAGAATCCCAAGCAGACTCCCCACTGACTGTGGAGCCTGACGCAGGGCAAGATCTCAGGACCATGAGATCACAACCTGAGCCTAAATCAGGAGTCAGATGCTTAACAAACAGCCACCCAGGTGCCCCGGTAGTCTTGCTATTTACTTGGAAAGCTCATATGAAAGAAAGAGCGGCAGATCACAGGCAATCAGGAAGGGACAGAAAGGGGTCTAGAACACCTTCGCTCAGAGAACCCGTCTGGGGACGCCACATCTGAAACCATCTCTATGTGCCAGCTACGTATGCGGCACACAATGCACGTTCTGCATTTTTTGCATAAAAGCTTCTAAAGTCACTAAAATTCCCCGGCTGACATCATTAACTGGCTATATATAGATGATCATAATTCACTTAAATCACCAGTGAGCTGGGCCCCCGTTGAACATGCAGGTACAACTCCATTTGGGTTATCATGAACCATGTTGTTTTGAATTAATAAAGCTACACATCTTGCTTTGAGTAAGTCTTTGCTCATCTCCTCTGTAGGTTCCTGCAAGTACAGCGGCAGGTCCGGTGTCTGAAGCATCTCGGGAGCACTGCTTGGGGAGCACACATCTCGGATGCCCGCTTGCTGCACCTCCACACAGGTGAGTCTCTTTAAACAACTGCACTGCTGCGCACTAAAAAATCATTTTCATTTCTATTTCCTTACTGCTCGTTAGTCTGATTTTCATATGCGGGTTAACCATTTCATATGATTTTCATATGCTGGCTAACCATTTCTATTTCCCTACAAAAATAATAAAAGGTCAATGTTCTATAAGATGAGCGTTTGTTACCAAAAGAAGCTGCCCATCATTAATTGGTGCATTCATTCATCAGACATCACCAGGTACTTGAGCCAGGCTGGGGGCTGTGGAACACACAGAAAATGCTGGGCTCTGCCCTCCCAGCTCCCTGCCATTCCTGGGGTCCTTCAAATGGTTTTTCTTTCTTTCTTTCTTTCTTTCTTTCTTTCTTTCTTTCTTTCTTTCTTTCTTTCTAAGATTTTATTTATTTGACAGCGAGAAAGAGAGAGAGAGAGAGAGAGAAAGCAAAGGAGGAGAAGCAGAGGCAGAGGGAGAAGCAGACTCCCTGCCGAGCAGAGATCCCAGGACCCTGAGGTCATGGCCTGAGCTGAAGGCAGATGCTCAACTGACTGAGCCCCCCAGGTGCCCCACCACCCTGGTCCCTTCTTCCTCATCAAAGCATCATTACTGCACACTGGAAGTGGTCATTGGAAGGGGCTAGTCACCCACCATATTGTACCTGACCAGGAGCATGGCCCCCTGGATACGGGTTCTTCTTGAAGAGCACGAGGTGGCTAATGTAGCATGGGCTCTGCATTTCCGCCCCTGCAGGACTCTGTCCAGCCAGGTCTGCAGGGAAATGCACCTGGACGGAGCCCAGGCCCTGCACGCAGCTCTGCAGGTCGCGATGAAGAAGCATGTGGAACTCCATCTGCCCAGTGCTGATGTGGAGCCGATTCTCCTTGTTTGCAGAAAGGCCATCCTGAAATGGAGCCGAGAAAGTCAAATGTTCCCAGTGCAAATGAGTAAGTTGTCTGGGATCCGGAACCAGGGGCGAGGCGGCAAATAATGGGAAAGGCGGCCCACCTCAGCGTGGTTGGGATTCATGGGCCCCAGCGACTATTTTGATATAAAGCTATAAATGCCTAACAATAAAATGCAAACTGCTTTCTTTGGTTTTGATTCATCTTCCTGTAATCTTATTCATTTTGCAACAAGTGTGATACTTCTGTTATTTTTTTGCAGCTTCTTAGCCCATCCAGAAGGAGCCTGAACACCCCATGGACTTGGCAGTGGACCTAAGCCCCGCGCCGTAGGGGTCAGCGAGGGCAGGTGTAAGGATGTGTAGCACACACATGCAGAGTTGCTAATCCTGGTCGCTATTACGAGATTCAGAGTGAGCCTTTGTTTATTTTCTGATTTCCCAAACGTAAGGTAAACCAGTAGGTCTGGGCAGGAAGGAAGATAAATGAGTAGGAGAGGAGAGACAGAGCCTATTAACTTACTGCTTCTTAAAAGTGTTGGCCATTTCTTACGGGGAAAAACCCAGTAAATCCCAATTTCCCATAGTTACTGCAGCAGAAATAAACTTGGGTGGATTTTTCTGTAGTTGAGTATCAGAGGGCTGCTCTTTACACTAACGCACATTAGAAATCCTTTGCATTACTTCTCTTCACTCAAGAAGCAGAAAGTGTGCTAAAAAATGCTGGTTCTAAGTCCAGCGCTGCCCCAGACATCGCAGAAGGAAATCTCCCAAAACACAGAAGGATGGAGCAGAGAAACATTTCACAGGAACATGACAAGATTCGCAAGAAACACTTGAAATTCAACCCCAAAATTTCCAAGGACCCCGCGACCACCCAGAACAATCACCATAGTACTTCCGGAACCAATTCTCTTTTTGGTTTCTAGAAGCAGTTACCAGAGGAGATGGCTGCTACCCGTGGAGAGAAAGTTGGGCTTACCAACAAGAGATCTGAGATGACCTTAATCCCCTCTTCTTGCAGGCAGCCCACAGTCCTCGGTTTGTCCTGGTCATATGCTTCCAAGACTTCGGACACCAGCAGGATGAGCTCAAGCCTCAGCCCCTCGTCCACCGCGAGCCTCCCCGAGAGTGGGCTCTGAGCCTGGAGCGCCCGGGCGGCTTTGAGGATGAGAGCCGCGCTCGTAAAGCTTAACTGCAGGAAAAGAGAAAGCAAATGGAGAGTCTCCCCATACCTGCCTCTTCCATCACTGCTGGAAATAAAAAAACAGCACCACGGCTCGAGAGGGCGGGGTTCAAGCCCGGATTTGGTGTCTAGTGGATTCTTGGCCTACGTCACTGGTGTCAATTTCTTCTCTGGTCTTCAGTCTCCTGACCCACGAAACAACCACAGAAAATAAAGGTCTCTGACGGCCGTTTATGTTAAGACGCTACTTGCTTTGAACCCAACAACCGCTTCACAAACCCTGAAATGGGCCCCACCGCCTCCTACAGGCATCTGAGCACACAGACCCTCCTACGGTTCCCAAAGAACCAAGGCTTCTCCCTGCAATGCCCTTACTCTGCATCTGCTGGCAAAATCTTACTCCTCTCTTTTCCTTAACCCTTAACAGGGACCATTTTTGGACCCACACAGAAGTAGAGAGAATAATACAGTGCTATGACAGGCCCCCTCCCAGCTGTGACCATTACTCATTGCAACAGATGTTCTATCCCTCCTTGGACTTCTGAAACAGTATTTAAACGCAAATCTCAGGTATTATTTCTACCCACCAACACGTCAGTTGCTGACAGATGAGAACTCTTTCTAAAGACATGCCCATGAGCTCACGGTCACCTCGAGCAAGATGAATCATGATTCTTCCCACTTACCTTTTAAAAACAATTTCAAACGTCTGCCACGTGAAGTGCTCTGCACCAGCACCTTTCTAGAACACTCTGTCATCTCATCATTACGGGACCTGGCATGTTTATCGAAGCATATGTGTTCCCACATGTAGCTTCACTCATCGGTGCCCGAAAGACAGGACTAAATGATCTGCTTTGTGCCTTAGCAGCTCCCGGTGAGCTCCCTCACATCGATGAGGTGAAATTAAGATCCCACTATCTGGCAGTCGTGCTTGTTTAACCAAAACGGTAATGTTTTGGAAATACTCCCTGCAATGAAACCCTGTTTGCCAGCAGTAAAATTAAACTAGTCTGGAAATACACTGACACCCCTATTAAAGGCACTGTACCCGAAGTGACTTATCATCCAAATGGAAAGAAGAATCTCTTACTTGAACTCAAACAAATGCTTTAAGGAATACATCATGGTCACTTTTCACACTGGACGTTTTTCAACCCAAACGATCGGAAATGGTTTCTGGAAATGACAGGCATGCTCAGGTTTGTGCACCACTGAGCTAATTCCATCCCTGGGAGCCTGGAGCCCAGGAGTGGCCTCGGGACGGGACCTCCTGGGGGACGTGACGGGGTGAGGGGTGGCACCTCCAGGCAACATTGTCGACAAGTGGTGCCCCTTCTCCACACCCTCCTCCAGCCTGGAAGCCAGAGGGGAGCACGAGCTGAAAGGAGCCGCATCCCTGCATCACCCCGGGAAGCCCACCTACTAAACACCCACGTGTGTGGTGGGGACAGACTTGGGTCGGGTCGGGCTGCCGACATGCCAGGGTTGGTCCGTTATTGACCCAATCCAGTCTGAGGTGGAAGACAGATGAGCAGAAAGGAGCCGTGAGTCGCAGGTGCTAGAGTGCCCAGACGCAGTCACGCGCGGGTTTGTCCAGAGAAAGGGGACTCTGGCTTCCCGGCTCTGGAGTCCACAGAGCAGGGGGCATTTGAACCTCGCCTGGAGGAGAAACCAGTGCTAGTATTAGTAGCAGCGCTTCAGGCTGCGGGAGAACACGCGGTCTCAGGGATACGAGAGATGTTCAGGGACAGGAGCATGGCGGGTGGCCATGAGGAAGGTGCAAGGTGACGGCAGAGGAGCTGGAGACAGGTCAAGCGCAGGGGTGAGACGCAGGAGCACCGATGGCCTCGAGCTGCTGGGAAGTCACCAGTACTTTAAAGGCAGCTAGGGTCACCGGCTGATGCGTCTGCTCTGAGGACGGCTCCGGCACTCGCGTGGGGATGTGGCCGGCCTTCCTGCTCAGCTGTGGCCGCTGCCGTGGAGCAGTTCAAGGTGGTGAGGATGCGAGTCGGGCAGGAGGGAGGGAAACAAGGTGACAGGGCCGTCCACATCGTCACTCATTCCCTCTGTCTGTGGCGCTGGGCTGGCGTCATGGCCGCGGTTATGGGGTGCACAGAACAGAAGGGTCCTGAGCGCGTGGGGGAATGTTCCGGGGGGGTAGCAGGGAGGTGATGAGGCAGCTGCTGGCTGGGACGGTCCTGAAGCTGCTAAGCATGGCAGAAGGTGACTTCAGGCTGCGGGTCCAGCACTTCTCCACGGGGTGACAGGTGAGCACGTGAGCTAAGTGAAGGGAAAGCTCTCTGCCATTGAGGGGCTGTGAGCAGGGCAGGGAGGGACACCGCGGCTGCCCAGGGTGCAGGGAACAGTCAGGGGGAGACGGCAAGGGCAGGATCCACGGAGCCGGCTGCCTGGGTCTGACCTCACTTAGAGCCGCGGGGTGGTGTTCGTGGATTCAGGCCGAGAAGATGCCTTTGTGCCGCTTGTGACAGTTGGAGGGGCAGGGAGCACAGTCGGGG